TTTTGGCTGGAAAGGCAATGCACTCAGAAAGGTGCTGTGGCTAGTTTTACACTGAGGAGGTAAAAGAGATTCTGCTTAATAATGGGGAAGGCTTGGAGGAACTGCCAGAATCAGGGCTGAACCTGTCGCCTGCATTGGGTTTCCCTTGATCTTGCCTGGAACTCTCAAGTTCTCATGGGAAATGGCGTTTTTCTCTCTATAGTCAGGAAATGCACTCTGGTAACCAACAGATTTATGCATCAACTAGTTTTTTGTAATGTACTTTATCCCTTGGAGCTAACTGCAATGAACACTGGAAATTTAAAGCTGATGTTAGCATATGATGCCACATATGTTAGGCAAGGATAGTAAACCCAAAGGCATAGCTCTCCAGCATTTGCTGATTTTATTGAAACAAGAAGATACCATTAACCTACTACAGCTGAAAAGATTTAGAGGCCAGTTATTTCTGGATAAGTTGCTTTAGAAGTCCCAATGTCTTTTAGTGTTTGATGGGATATTGCAGTGATGCTGGCAAGAACTATAATACTTGAGGCAGGGAGTGCCTTACAAAGAAAGACTAATTTAAGAAATAGACATATAAGCTCTACAATAAAGAGGTGCATATGTACAGGTCTTCTATGAGTCAAATCAGAAGAGAGATTATGTTCTGTGAAAGAATAAACAGACCAAATAACCCTGCAACCATGAGGTACTATGAGTATTTGCCCAGGACATTAGGTACTTCTTAGAGAGTTTCTGAAATCTTTTCTGAATACACATTTTTTTCTGAGTCTGAATAAAGTTAGCATATATGTAGCATATTGATACTCCCTATTTGTCATGGGAAGGAGCATACAGAGACCTTTTAAAAACAAGTTAATATTTCTAGTAGATAGAAACACTTCTTTTTCTGCTGATTTTTACCTTATGGTTCAAATTTTCTCAAGCCATTTCAGTTTTTCTATCCTAATGCCTTCATGGTTTAGTGGTAGACTCAGCAGTGTTAGATTAACAGTTGGTCTCAATGGTCTTAGAGGTCTTTTCCAACCTAAAAGATTCTCTTAATCTATATTTGAATTACAGATAAATGTATTTATGTATACCTTTCTCATTATGACATATATATATTTATCTTATTCAAATAAAGACCATATGGGTCACCATATGGAAGCTGTTGTGTGGATTAGGCACAGTTTCACTGAACTACCCTATTAAAGCCTGATTTTTGTGAGTGATATTCAGCTTTGCACTCATGGAGATTCTTATGATCTCTTGATTTCTGACTTGGACTTGAACATTTTTGCTTTTATTCAGATGGGCCACAATGTAATAATACTTTGAATGTCTGAAGCATCACACTGATGTACATCAGTTGCATTTACTTATATCCCTGACTAGAACATGGCTGTTTCTAGTAAAGATAGTAATCAGGAATAAACCAGAAGGGATTTCAGTGAAGCTCCCTTTCTCCTGTGTTCAGAAAGGTGGTCTGAAAAATCTGAGACAAACATGTGCTGAAGCATCTAATATCAAAAGCCCATGGTATAGGGATGAGACATAATGAAGAGTTCTGTAGGCTGCAGAGAACCTGTAAAGGATGGGAAAGTCTGAAGAGAGCAATCATGAAGAATGATTGACAAAAGTGGAAAGAAAACACAAAATCTATCTGATCTTTTATTTGTCCTAAGCAGTCACTTTAATGAATCTTTTAATAATTAAATCTGATCCAAGGCATGTCTTTGAGCATTAATATTGAATTCCTAACTTAGTTGCAGTTGTAGTTTTAGGATGTGTTTATTGTGGTCTTAGACACCATCAGACTAGTCAGGGGGAAAAAAAATCATTGCAGAAAAAAACCTGAAATGAAAATATTTTCAAGGTGCAGCAATTTTGGGTGAACTGCATCCCACCACTGCTCATCAGCAGAGAGACCCCAAAATTGCCATAAGTGTAGTATCTTGGGATGGTCCATCATGTTCCTCTGTTCCTTGAGCTGCACTGAATGTATCATTTGGCCACTGGGGCTCTGCCCTACAAGTCAGGAGTGCATTTCTTCAGAGTTGTCACAGCCCTCTCCTGTCGGTCTTTCCCTCTGACATTTCCTATTTGTCCCAAACTTGTCCCAGATGCTTATAAAGCTGCTGCTGAACTTCTGCAGATTGCAGCCTGAGGTTTCACAGAAAACCCAGTTTGATATTGCTCCCTTAATGCAATAAGAGACCATAAACTACCACTGCACAGCCTGTGCTTTATGGACAGCATTCCCAAGTCAGGCTGTCTGCTTTACCACCACGGGGGGGCTTTGGTGATCCTTAACCTGAATATGGCTGGAAGTTTGTATTGGTATTAGCCTCGTTGAATTTTGCATTCTCTGCCACTTTGGTAATCACAAAACCTCTTCTTTGTTATTTGACTGGATACCAGAGAGGATTTTTCATTTATATGCTAATAGAGCTTTTGCCCAAGGGTGTTTTGCAACAGGGTGAATCACGTGCTAACAACAAAACCAGGTTCCTCAATGTCAGGTTCCCTCAGCATCAGTAACTTCAGAAATAAATTACTAAAGAAGACATGCTGATTACCCAGGGTGAGATCCATCTCAGCTACTTTCAGACATTCAGAGTTAGGTGTCAAGTGTCATCTGGACGTTTAGGCTTCTCCAGAAGAATCCAGTGTAGAGGTGTTTAGTCACTACTTGCAGTTGCCACTCTTTTTTTCATACACTTAATACAAAGAAAACACAACCAGCTTCTCCTATGAGTTTAACTTTCAGATGACTTAATGGTCAAGCGTATCCTAAGTACACCCCTTGTGAAAAGGATGAGTTTGTCTCAAAAGGAATAGTGCTTCATAGTAAAAAGCAGATTTGAACTTTTAACTAATTTAGGAAATTTAATACCAGTGCCAACTTTGAGTCAAAGGTACTTTTGGCTACCTCTGGCTTGAGCTTAAAGAACAGATATTTCATATAAGGAAGGCTTAATTCAGGAAAGAAAAGTTAGTTGTCAGACAACAAGCAGCTCAGTCAGCTTCCTAAGAGATGCTGTAGGCTTCTTCCCCACCTCATTTCCTTTTGTCTTAAAAGCAAAGGTGCCATATGAGAAGGTAAATGAAAACAGGATCCCATGCAAAAATCTCACACCCATTAGCTTCCATACATTTCAGAAACATTACCTCTATCTGACAGCCTTTGTGTGGCACAATTACAAAGAAGTTGTAACAAATGTTCCCATTCCTCGGTTGAGGTATTGAAACTCTTCTAGGCACTTCAGCCAGGGACACAGGTAGATTGGAGATTGTAGCAGAAGAAAGAGAACATGTGTGTGCTTTTGTGCATAGTTACTTTTGTCTAAATTGTTTCTTGTCACCATTCTCACAGAAAAAATATTTCAAATTTTTTACAGAAATGCAGGTACTCACATTAATTATAGTATCAGCCAAGGATTGGGAGAGACTTGTGACTCTCCTTTACCTACTGGGTAGGTTTTCTAATTCTGGCTTCAGTTAAGCAGTTCCAGAAAGTTTCAATACATTGAAGGTGAGAAAGGAAGTTGAAAGCAAACTTAGCACTTGCATTTCATGATAAAATAAGTGTGCTTATTTCAAGAAGCCGGAACAAAAAAAAGATAATGTAGATATAAAATTAAACCTAATAAGTTGAACTTTTGGAAGGATGGAATACTCCATGTAAGATGATCAGATTGTCTCAACTTGTTCTTCTTGTAAGAACAATTTTTCATATTGTTTCCTGTGTTCACATGAGAAAAGTATGTAATGAGACTTCTAGAAGTCATTGGGTTTGTTTCTATTTTCTGTTAGTCAAGGTCCTAGTACAAACTCATATCCACAGTCAGAGTGGCAGTGATTTCACACGTATGCCCATCTCTAAGAGGAAGCAGGATGCTTTGTCATCCTATTAATCTCAAATTCTTTCATAAGCATTACGTTTAATCATTCAGGAGGACTTTCAGTGCAAATGTATGTGTGCCTAATAATGCTTGCATAATGTCTTAGAAAATGTAATGACTGAGCTTCCTAGAGGTGTGCTGAACACATGCAGATCCTCATTAGATTAAAAGAATTCCAACAAAAAAATTGTTGGATCAGTCCATTAAATTCCAATAATCTGCTAATAGCATCCAGCCGGGTGACAATTTCAATACAATTGCTAAGAATCTGGAGCTTTTTTGCAGCAGAAATTGATAATGTTGTTTGTAGAAACATTTAATGATTTTTCAAGGTGAAATGTTCGAATCTCATTTAAATTTGTTAAGTTGCATGCTGTATTAAATGTGAAGCCCAGAAATAAGAAAGACATTTCAAATGGAAAAATTATACAATGTGGTTTAGGATGCGGAGAAATGTTGTTCATCATAACTTCTTTTATTTCTTTTGAGATAGAACACTACAAGAAAAATGAGCATGTACACAGAAATCATGATGCAACAGCACTTTTCAGGGAAAAATATTCCTTCAAAAGAATTCTTATTATCTTCCTATGTAAATGTCTTCATTCTAACAATCATCTCCATAGCTGTTTTTAAATTTATTTTTTATTGTGGATATAATAATGTATTGAATTCAGGTGTTTGCATGGAGAAAATATGTTGATGTGTTTATTAGGCTATTGCTGTCCTCACTTTTAGAATATCACTGTAAGGCTGTCTCGCATGGATGATCTCTATCATATCATCAGCCAGGTTACAGCAGCTACTGCATTTCCTTGAGCCCCAGGTGGGAATGATTTTGGTCCCTCAGCACACTCAGCCACAAGACCTGCAGATGGGAAGGTTCACACCTTACAGCAGCTGCTCTCTGACAAATAATGTGGGTGGGAAATTTCCCTGTTTCAGAAAGCTGGAGGCGTGGAGCTCTGACTCAGTGCAATAAAACACCCGTTCAGCAACTTCTGAGACTCCGTCAAGATTGTAAATTTGTTTCAGGAGGCACTGGCACCTGTGGAGCCCAGTACTAAGGTGCCACTCACAGCAGCTGCTTTTAATGTAGCAGCGATCTCAATGGCATCAACCTCTGCCTTATCCCAGGTAAGTGGAAAACAGAACAACCCTGGCAGGAATCTTGGATTTTTGATTCAGATTTGTCCCTGAACTACAACAGGTCTAGTCCCCTGTTATCTATAGGGCATAAATTTCCAGGGAAAAAGATTATTCTTTCTTGGGTACTTGCAGTTACCAGGACCTGGAGTCAGAATCATTCCATATAGCACAAAACTGGTATGTTCATTTTATTTGCCACAATGAGGAGGTGCAAATTGCCTGTTCCATATTGGAATGTTACAGTGGGGGTTTGAATTAATTAAAAATCTGATCTTTATTCTCTTCTTCATCCCCTGTTCTTCTTCCCTCAGCAGCATTCAAGCAGAAAATCAAGCCACTTGGAAAATGAAGAAAGAAAATGGATGATGCACTATGTAGCCCCAAGTGATGATGCTAAGGTATCATATTTCTACAAACTAAAAATATGGGGGACTAAACCAATACTTTTTTTAGGAGGGTAGGGTATTCCCCCCCCCATCCCCCAATTTGGTTAGTAAAAATTCACATGGTTATGTAGAAATAGGAATATTTAATGAAAGAAAATTTTCTTTAGATGCAGTATCTGCATAGCATTAATAACATAGAATGTGTTATTTCCATGGTTTTTTTCCTTACAGAAATCTCTTGGTGAAAATGCACTTGATTTGCTGTTAAAATGAGACTGACTTTGGCTTTCTTCTAATGCTATCTATTGACTTCATGGAGCTTTGGCCCAGAATGAATGGAGAATGCTGTCAGAGTCAGAAAGTCAGAGCATAGTTGTTGGTTAACCTTTGGGGTTTGGTCATTATTGCAAATTTTCAGAACAAATGCCCACTTTGATCCCTGTGCACTTACTCACAATGAAAGAACAGCTCTGGGCATGTTTGCAGGGCCTCTGGCAGAGATAGAGTAGCATCAAACACATAGCAGCTTGATCAGTGATGATTTTTGCTGCTGGCATTGTGCCAAGCTGCCTCAAAGTAAAACATGGGGGCTCCAAATGAAAAGAAAACTTACTTTTGATGACATTTTAAATGATGTGTGATTCAAACATCTATAGGTTATATATGTTTGATTGGTTTTTTTTCGTGTAACCAAACTACCAAATGAACAGAAAACTACAAACATTGTTTTGCCTGTGTATGTCATAACCATATCAAACTGATTGATCAAACTGATCTCTTGTTAACAGCATGCTGGCAGCTCCTACAGATGAGTATGAGTGTACAAAAGGTACAAACTACCAGTAGGGAGTGAAACTTGCTGTAAAGGACAAAGCAGCATAACCAAAACTGACATGGCATTTAGGTGTTCCTAATTTGTTCTGTGTGTGTGTGTGTGTGTGTGCTGAAGCTCAGCAACAGAATGTACTAAAGCAGGAAAAGCAGTTGTTGGGGGAAATGATGACCCAATCACCTTAGCAGTTTTGTAATGATTTAATGTATTCATACTGAAGTTCTGTTTTGGTTTAGAATATCCATAGCTAAAAGCAACCAACTCCTCTTTACCAGTAACATAGTTACATTTACATAAAGACTGTAAGAATCCAGCATGCACTTTAGAAAATACATGAAGTAATACAAAAAAGTGATCCTGTGGCCATAATCTCCAGTGTATAGGGGGATATGGGACCCTTCCCAAAGCTTCAATTCATTATTCATGCCATAATTTCTTCCTGCCAAATGAACTTCTGAAAGTTCTGTTTACTGTGTACAGGCATTTAACAACAAAGGCATTCTCAGACATTCTTTATTTACCTCCTGATTTTTAATGTCTTCTCTGTAATTAATCTTAGCAAAAAACTGGCACTAAAGGCACAGACTTGTCTAAACTGGCCAGTTTCTGCCTCCTACAGGTATTGAGTTTCCTGGGTAGCTTTCGGTAATTGCCTCAATTTTTGTAAGTCATAGCTTGCCATCCTCAGCAGGAGGATAATCATTAGTAGAGAGTTATTAGAAAGGATTACATTCTTGTAGCAGACCTTGACTTCTAAGAGATGTAAACAAGTATAAACTTTCCTTAATACAAAAGCTCAAATATTTGCCTAAGCACTTGTTTCAATTTGAGAAGACTTTACACAGCTGTGTGATAAACCAAATAATTACTGGATTTGGTTAGGAAAACATGCCTGGGGCTGTGCATGGAATTTAGCTATTCCCTACCTGTAGTGCAAAGTCAAATATACTCCACTGCTAAATTTTCAGGAAAATGAAACAACAATTCACAATTGTGTGGAGCTGGCTCAGCCTGTGTTCTGGTAATGCTGAGATCTTACCTCCCCTGTTTAGAACACAGCCACATAAAATATCATGTGCCTTACATATGACTTTGACAACGAAGATTGATTTATTTTTCAGTTCTATTCTCTGTAGTCTGATGAAGATAATGTATTTTTTGGCACTTAGCCCATTTGTTGTTTTGGATATGCTGCTCACAGCAAAAAGTGTTAGCATTTTAACCAGTCAGCTCACTGAAGACATTCTGGTATGATTCCTGGTCATAAGCTTGAGCTCATGGGCAAACCTGATGGTTATATCAGGCACTGGCTTCTATTTAACATGCCTTTCAATTACCCAGTGTTTTATAAAGATATCAATCTTGCCATTTTTTGGGACAACTTCATAGCCTGGAAATTACTGCATTTTTTGGGCAATTTCCCTTGATAACCTTCATGTCTTTCATTCTTATAGAGATGGAAATTATTTGAGAGGTTAAGCTAAATTGTATCATGATGGATTCCCTGTGGTCCAATGCTTTGCACACTTCATCTGATGTACTGTCTTGTCTTACTAATTTCTTATACTTTGACCTTTTTATCAGTCTTTGACTTTTGTCACAGTAGCAGCATGTTTGTATGTTCTTACTCTTATTTCACTCAAGAGTTACTCCCTGTTATTTTAATTGAAGTCTCATAAAATAGATAACATATCCTAATTATTTCATAATCTTCAACCAGCTCTGCTCTATTTCACTTCAGATTGTCTTTTCCAAATTTTGGTCATTAGCTTTCATAATAGCTTCTTTCTTTGGCCACCCCTTCTTGTTGATGATGTTTCAGGTTGTGACTTTACTAAGAATTACTGATCTATTAGTCTTCTGCCATTATCTGAACTTCTCCTTGAGCTCTTTCTGAATATCAGTGGCCACCTACCTACTGGTCACTGAAGTTGCCACCTATTCCTTGACCTACTATATCCTGTGCCTTCAGTATTATTTGTCTTTTTGCAAATATACAAGTGGCATCATAATAAGTTTAGCCATTTTATAACTTACACAGATCCATGCTACTAGAACTGCACTGCCCTGCTCCTAAATCTGCCTCATTTTAATGCTATAATATTTTATTTCACTAATGCTTTGCTCAGAAGTCCTTAAAACATTCTTTATTATTTCATAGCCTGACTAACTCAAGGTGACTTTTTAAAATGCATATTATATATAGATATACTATTTATACCTCCCCTTTTGTTGGAGATACCCAATTCAGGATCTGCTGATAACATATTTGTATGCAGATTAAAGCTCTTCATGTAGCAGTAGCAGTCAGACCTCAGGATTTGACTGTTTGCATTTTCTTTCCCCTGCAAAGCCTCATCCTCAGACATTCACTGCAGTCATTTTATGTTACTCCTATCTAATAAGACCTGTTACTATTATAATGAGACATCAACTGCAGAACTGGCTACTCAATAAAATCTGAAATTCCTTCTTTTCTTCTGCTTCAGTTCCTAAACAGTGAGAGAGGGAGCCATCCCCAGTGCTGATTTACCCTTTGCATTCAGTCTCTTTAGTACAATCATGATTCTACTCTCTTTGCTTTCTATAAACTTGAGCTGTTTTGATAAATATTCCCCAACTGTTCCCACAGTAAGAAAAATCAATGCAACCACCTGTGCTGCAGCCATAGTAAGCATTGTCTGTTTTCTCCTTCTTTTTGCTGGTATCCTGCTTGCTCTAGCTGCTGCTAGGGGACATGATGAGAATGTTCTCTGAAGGTGTAAAATCCATCAGGCATACATGATTGTCACAACTTTTATAGACTCAGATGACCAGGCCTGGCACCTTCAACAAGGAATTGCAGATAGCCTTCTTTGAAATTAAGGACTGTAGTCAAAACTATTCCATGTCTATCAATCAGATAACCATCCTTGGAAAGGAAAACTTCTGTTCCCACAAAGCAGACTAGGAGAGTTTGTCCAAAGCCATGTGTTGCGTAGTCCTGAGACATTCCCTAAGGTGCTAACACTCAGTCATCCCTCTCTCATGAAAATGATTGCTTTAAAAACAAGCAAGAAAACATAAAAAGACCCCCCCCACACACCTTCTCTCCAATTATCCAAGCACTGCATTAAAAGAAGAAATTTTTTGCATAGGCCTTGATTCTACCTACAGCACAACACAGGCTGTTGGTCAATAGCAAGCCAAATTTGAAGCGTCTCTGATTTCCGGATTCACTGAATTTTTTCTTCATATTGGCTGCTGATGGTCCTGTGTACAATTTAACATTACTAGCTAAATGAACTTTTTCAGCTTATTTATACCAACTTAAATTTCCTATTCATCCTCTCTTTCCACACTTTTTCTTCGTGCTTAGATAGCTACAGGATTTAGGAGTCAATGAAGTTTGTGAAGAAAGTGAATTTGCTGCCTATTATATTTTTGCTGTGATGCCAACTGGAAGAGACAACTTTAGCGGAACCTTGGTTCTTTTCATTGTTTGGTTGTTTTACAGTCAATACATATATTAAAAACTTTAAGATACATCTCCTTTGTTATTTTTTTCAGCAGGAAGAAATGACACCTTACTCCTTGCTTACTGTAAGAATCATAAAGTTGAAAAATGCTCATCAGGCAGATTTTTGTAAGTACCAGATTGTTTTATTGATGTTACATCATTCTCAAATTACTGTATCAGCCCCTGCTTCTGCTAGATATTGCGCAAATGCAAAACACTAAAGTCATACTAGCTAAGAAAACACAGTTGAAGGCAATTTATGCCACAGAATATCTATTTGCAATCTCAGAGGTTTATTTGGTTATTGGTTTTTTTACCATATTATTTATTTAACAAGTTGGCTGTTTCAGGGGCTTGAAAATGCCTTAACACCAGTTTTAACACACAGATGTTTATATAACATGTTCATGAAAAATGCATAGATTATAGAGCTGAAATACTTACACACCAGTCTCTCTTCAGTCTTGGGTTATCCTGAGCATCATGACATCAGCTGACTCTTGCCCCCCAGTGAAAGATGTTGGACAGAAATTTTTTGGGGACTGTGGTACATGGTACATTTCATCTGTCATGCAAAGTGTTTTGAAAATGTGTGACATTTGGACAGCCTTTGCCTGTGGTTCACATTCCCAGAGATTTTTCTCTGAGAATTTTGTCCTGCCATTCCTATATGTGTCTCATGAACTTGGCACACCACTAATATCACAGTTTTACATATCCCTTTATCATACTGTTCTTCCTTCACTTGTTTTGCATTTTCTTTCCTTTTTGGGAGATCATGATGAAGGTTGCTGAAGCCATAAAATCCTAGAGATAAAATTTCTCACCATCTCTTTGTATTTCACTCACTTCAGTGTTTCAAGAGCATGGATGTCACCCTTGTCAATTTTCCAATCAAGTGAAGAGAAGTGCTCTGTTCACATTGTCTGTAATATCAGGCTGCAGAAAATAGAAGAAATATTATGGTATAGAAGAAAAGGTCAAATTAATTTTTTATTCCTTTTGAGAGCTATGAAACACTGCATGTATGTGCAAGACTTCACCTTCATTCCTTTGAACTGTTGATTTAATTTCTCTTAATACCACCTTTGACCTAGAATGAAAATTGAACCAGATAAGAACCATGATTCAGCTGCTTATGCAAAGGAATTGCACAAAGTAAAATGATGCTGCATTCTCAGAAAACAGTGTTAAAGTTGTGACCTTGTCCTCCATCCTGAGGACAGGGAGATTTCTGAGAGGTGTCACTTAGGAATTTTGAAAATTCCTGTTATCATCAACATGTACACTGCTGTAGTAGAGCTCAAAACATGTGGGCTCAGTTTTTAGGTCTGTTCACGGACTTGTTGCATAAGAAGTTTAGATAAATTTACACATCAAAATATTCTGTGACTCTGTTGCCCTGTCTACAAAATATAGAGTATCTTCTCCAACACATTTTGTTTGTCTCTTATCTATTTAGGCAACATGCTCATTTAGGCAACATGCTCCTACTATTGTAGAGAGATTTTAATTTAAGATGTTAGGTAACTAGAGACAGTGGGAAGTATTTTAAGATTCTTTTGCTAATTGTCAGTAAATTAGGCTTGGGGACCAGTTGGTGAAGAAAATTGTCATTTCTTTCTGTCAGTAATTCCCCAGCTACTCTGCGAGACTGTTTGAGCCAGTTTCTTAAGGGTGTTGTAGAATGAAGCACTGTAGACCAGGATGCTGTTGAACAAGGAAGATAAACAAACATCAGATAGCTCTTTGTTGTCTAAGTAACAGCCTATCTCTGCTTTCAAAGAAATTGAAATCTCACAGGAAAAATAACATGATACTCTGGAATTTTAAAACTTAAGTACAATTCAAAAAATATATATTGTAGCTTTCAAGTGCTTGATTTTGCACTGCTATTGATGTTCTTTCAGCTTAGGGTTTTTATTTTAACATTTGAATGTGTGTGAAGTATCAGAAAACTAAAATAACTACACATGCTATTGTGTGTGAATAATAAAATTATATTTACCTAGCCTTTTCTCAGCAATATGATCTTTCCCCTGGAAAAGTCATCAGAAGCATCTGGTACAGATGCTATCTGACTGTGAGATATCTGTAGAAGACTGACAATTTTTGTAATAACGTTTTTCAAATTTCCCTAGATTTTCAGTTTCCCTGTATCAAGCCGCCTTTTCAATCAAGAGCAACCACTTCTGACTTGTTTTTTCTACCTGCATGCTATCTTCCCATCTTTTTCAGCATGTGCTGTGCTCCATTCCATGATTTTTCTCTGTTTGTTGCAAGCGCAGTCACATCAGGTCGTTTGGTCATAGAGTTTCTACATTTTAATTTGGCTTACTTGCCAGATCCTGACTTCTGTATATTTCCACTGATAGTCCTCACTGACACATGCACCCAACTTAATCTTGGCTGTTTTCTTAAAATACGCACCTCAAGATCCATGGGATGTGTGTTTCAAAAGCCTGGGATGAAATCCAACTTTATCCTGAAATCTGATGTTACACCTTTGCCTGTAGACAACACACGCTGATGGAGTTTGGCACAGAAAAAATTAAACTGAAAGGAAGACAGTTCACTCCTCCTGAATGGGTCAATTGGCCCCTTTCATATCCCTGCTGTCCCCTCACCTTTTTTGCAGTGTCCTCTATACTTGAGTGATGTTCCTTTCCAACATCTGCTTCATGCTACATATAATTGGTTTCTGTCTTATCTTAGCATGCAAATGCTCTTGACAGACCTGGGATAATTATTTTGCACTGTACTCCTAACTAACCTTTATGCCAATTACTAATCATGGGTCAGACTCAAACATTTCTGGCACTCCCTGATCTCACTGTGGGCAAGGGAGAGAAAGGCACCCAGATAAGATCACTTGCACTCATCCTGCTGCCCTGCAGGAACTGTGTCATCACCGGCTCCGGTGCTCTATGCAGCTTGGCTGTGAAGGTTGTGGGGGGACTAGAAAGGAATAAATTCCATTAAAGTTTGAGTCTCTTGCAGTCTGGTGCCTATTTTGCAGTGGTATTCCCCTCCTCAGTCCAAGAGTGAGTGCAGACTTTGGTAAAAGAATGACTTTTTAGGTCATTGGTGTGTTCATTTGCTCCTTCTCAGCTGAAAGTCAGTGCTGGTGCTTTTACAAAAACTCATGTTTCTTAACTTTGTTAATGGTTTCACTTCTTCTACAGAACTCCCCATGTCTGGAAGGAATATCTGGTCAGGATGAGATGGCAGGGAAATGGTGTATTAGCTTCTTTTCTTGCTAATGACACCCCTTCCAGTATTTCTCAAAAGAATGGAAAAGGAGCTGGGTGATGGGAGAGGAGGACCATGGTGGCACAGACTCTCCAATGCCTTCTGGCAGCTCTCCTTAAACAAGTGAGTTATTAGGTGGCCATACAGAGCTGCACCAAGCTCCCAGCCTGGCCCATTTTCACCATCATTAGTGCTTACTCATTTTATGGCAGCCCCTAAACCCTGTGGCTGAAGTTGGCATCCTGTGCCTGCTCCACAGACAAACAGAGGATGAGTGAGGGATCTGCCTCATGTGGCATGCCTGAAGTTCAGGCACCAAGGGAGGGGACTTGTGCTGAGGCAACAGAAGTGGAAGCAAACCTCTTCCAGATTCTTAGCAGGTGAACAGACTTGCAGTTACATCATTTCTGCCCCCCTACTTAGTGCCATGTGAAAGAGCAAAACTCCACTGGATCTCACCTAATCCTGAAGATCTGAGTAAAGAGGTCTCTGTGACAGTACTGCTCTCTGAAACTGTGGCAGCCTCCATGGGTACCAGCTGATTCCACACTCCAGGAGATGACCTTTCCTGCTGGAGTGCACATTCTGGCTCATTAACACAGATGAGGTGAAGAGTGGTGGTGTCAGGTCTGGCTTGACACATTTAACCTCACTGGTGCTGAGTGTTTGCGACGCTTTTCCTGGACTGCAGAGGTGAATTTGAGCTCTGTGCCCCAATAAGAAGTTACCTGGAGTGAGCTTCAGGTTGACAGGTGCTTTTTTTCTGGGACACAGTAACTTTTCTGAGAGAAGTCTTGCCAGATCAAGGGGCTGTTGGAAATGAGGTAGGAAAGTTATTCTTGGGTCAAAATGTGACTGCACTCTGGTATATTTTCTACTGTAGAAAACTGACATATGTGGAAACCTTCTCAGCTTGTGGAAACAAACCTGTTAGTCTTAGCTGGAATATCAGAACAATCAGTCCTCTTCCTCAACTTTCCTTCTGTTTTCAGATCTTCTTTTGGTTTTTCATCCTTGAATGAAGAGACCTTGCATATTTATAAAAGAGGAGCTCAGAGACTTTGTCCTCTAAGAAATTATGTCCTTATGAAATTATTTTGTGGAAGCTTTTATATTATCACTTCAGAAGAAATGAGTCAGTTCTGCAACAGTACACTTGGAACCTTTGCAAATCAGTCATTCTCCAGTGATATTAAGGGTTGTTTTTGCTACAGAAAATAAGTGCAAAAAAAAATTAGAGAGATTACAGCTAGTACAGGTGGTACTAATGGCCCTGTCCCAGGAAAGCAGGGTGCCAAGTGGGAGCACAGTGGTGCAGGAGGGAGAGGTGACCCAGGGTATGAAACTTTGAGCTGGGACTGCACCCACTGAATCTGCTCCAGGGAGAAAATCCTACTTTGCCACTTGACTTAAGTGGCTAGACTGGGTAAAGGGCTCATTCACTTAGGGACTCTGCTCATCCCTGGTCAAAGACATCACTGATTAAGCACAGTTCATCAATGAGCTTTTGTTATTTCCATAAGTAAGCCACAGAGAGCAATATTGTGCTTACAAAAGAATGTTGCACCAGGATAGTGGTAGAGCTCTTAGCCATGCCCAAATCTCCTCTCAGATAGCAGTGGGAGGTAAATCCTTAATCCTTTTTGTATTGTACTGAGAAAATGTTCCCAAAGACCATGTCCAGCAATTGAGAAATGGGAGCAGTTCTCCTCCTCCTCCTCTTAGGTGAACTGTAGTAAACTAGGATTCAAGGAGAACCTGTCTGTGCAGGTGAAGAATATTTCACTAGAAGAAAATGATTTCTTTGTTTTGGTGTTGCAAAATGCAGTAACAGGACAGATGGGATTTAGTAGTTTACATTCATTGCTCCTATGAGACTTGTTTTTCTTATATGCTTTGCTTTTCAGTGCTGTAATTTTCTCCTTACCTGTGATGGAGATGAGTGATTTTAGCACGTGATGGTTCATCTCAAGTACAGCTCACAGGACTGTACTCTCACAGAGCAGCACACATAGTGCAGTTCTGAACTACTTCTTCTGGTCTTGTATTTTTAACTGATCTTTAGCTCTAAGACAGAGTTGAGAAGCGGTCTCATAATCATAAAAATTGAATCAGAAGCTACAAATTGGAAAAGGACACCAGGGTCATAGTGCTGACTTTCAAAGAGACTGTAAGTTCAGATGTCTCAGCATTCACATGAGGTGACATTATGTCATCAGGGAAGTTGCAACACGTGCACTGAAGTAAGGGCCTGGCATGGCATGAAACTTCTAATGAAGCCCAGCAACTGCATTATAACTGGAACATGAAGAAAATGTAAATAGAATTTTTAAGCATTAGCTCTCAGGTAGCAATGAATAAACTGGAACATTTTCAGTAGCTCTCCTGTACACTTTTTTCAGGGATAAGAGAGAGCAATGTAAGATGATTAGTAATTTCAAGAGCTCCTATAAAATAATGGTATCATGATCATCATAGTATTCAGCAGTCATTCAACTATCCAGTAATTTTTTATCTCACTGTTTGCCTCATAGTTTAGCCTCAGTTCTAGTGAACTGCCACTTTTACAGAAATACATAAGCTCAGTCAGAACCATAGCATGGGAATACTGTCTGTAAAATTAAAGGAAAACATAGAAAATCACAGGAATCCTATGGAAAACAATAACCTCTCCACATTGGTAGGGACTGTTGATGAATTGTGGCAAAACCAGTTGTGTCATAGTCCCCTTTCTTCACAGGAAGAGAATGTACTTTGTCCTAGTGGTATCATCTCACCCCACCTTCAAGGTCAAATTTTCTATATAGGAGTTACTAACACTATTATGTAATATATTTGTCTGTGACCAACTAGCCTTGTTACAGCAGAATCACACAAAGTGGCTGAGGTGTGAAGGTACTTCTGGAGATTGTGTAGTCCAGACTGCTGCCATAAACAGGTTTGTCTTCAGTAGGTTGTTCAGAGCCATATTCATTTGGGTTTTGAACATTTCCAAGGGCAGAGATTTCACAACCTTTCTGGGCAGTCTGTGACAGTGTGTGTTGGTGTTTACAATGTCAAGGTAAAAATCAAAATTTTACTTATGTTTCAGTGGGATTCCCTGCATATTGGTTTGTGTCCTTTTACCTTTCACTGGGCACCACGGAGAGGGTCTGACTCAGACTTATTTATTTTCCTCTCCCCTGATCAGGTATTTACAGAAATTGATAAGACCCCATAAGCCTTCTCTGTGTCAGGCTGAAGAGTCTCAGCTCTCTCAGCTTCTCCCCACAGAGCAGATGATCCATTCCCCCATTCTCTTTATGGACTTCTTTCTTCAGCTCACTTCAGCACATCCTTACCTCTCTTGTACTGGGGAACCCAGAGATGTGGCCTTGTCAGTGCTGAGCAGAGAGGAAGGCCCACCTTTCCAGATGCTGGCAACACTTGGCCTCACTTGCCCCAAGGACAGCTCAGACTCTATGTTGAGTCTGCTGTCCACTAACATGCACAGATGCCTCTCTGCAGAGCTGCTGTGCAGCTGCTCAGCCTCAGCCCATCCTGGTGCTGGGGTTTTGCCTCCTCCTGTGAAGGACTTTGCATTTCCCTCAGTGGACTTAATGAGGCTCATGTTGGCCTGGCCTCCCACCTGCACAGGTCCTTCTGAATGGCAGCACAGCCTTCTGGGGTGTCAGCTGCTCCCCCAGGTGTTGTTCCACCTGCAGATGTGCTGAAGCTGACCTCTGTCTCATCGCTCACATTGTTAATACAGATGTTAAACAGCCCTGGCTCCACTATCAGCCTCTGGGGTGCACCAGCAGACACTGGCCTCCAACTGTACTTTGTGCTGCCAACCACAATTACGTGACCCTGCTGGTTAAACCAGTTTTTAATCCACCTCACTTTTTATGTATCTATCCTGTACTTCATCAGTTTGACAAAGAATTTTCAATTGCTGATTTGACATAAATATTTATGAAATCAAGACACATACTGAACAGTAATTTTAGGGAGTAGCATCATGAAGATATTTTGCCAAAGAAAGCACTCCAGAAAATCAGTAAATTCCAGATAAAACAGTAACAAATGACATTAATAAATCCTGCAGCTGTCCATTCATGGTTGTCTCAGAGCTTTTGTACTGCCAGCTTTCTCAGTTCTATCACAAATCTTATTTTATACAGTGTGTGATGAAAAAATGAGATTTAAAATAAAATAATAATATTTTGGTTTTCAAGACCATTTTGGTTTTCTGGAAGAAAGAGAAAGGAAAAGAATGTGCCTTTGGAATTGCAGCAAAAATATAGAAATGTGACCTTTCTGTACTCTATGACATCTAGAAATTAAAGGGAGAGAAATTATGTCTTGAATCAGTTCAGAAATGTTAATTTCTGAATTACATCCCCCCTCATCCACTTTGGCATCTTTGGAGATGCTGGATTCATGTTTTTGGTACACTTGAGATTGGCAGTTGTGTGAGCATTAATGAGAGGAGGGATGGTCCAGATGCCCTGAAGCTACATTTAGTTCTTGGCTCTAGATCAGAGGCAGTGATACCATTTATCAGGATAAGTACACCACAGCTCAGCAGGCTGTCAGGCAGCACAGTGAGAGCAGGACTTTCAGTTATCAGAGAGATCAGCAAGCATAGCCCTCCCACTCCTAGTAAATTAAGTATTGTACTGGTAATTGCCAAAGTCAACATATTATCCTGTCAGCATCATTATGTAAATTCTGAGACTCTGAAATATTGTCAGTGGAAATAATTTCAAAGACAGGCAATTTACTGCTTTCTAGAGATAAAACTCCTGGCAGTGTCAAGAAATTCCTTCAAAATTCAGCACAAAGTGTTACATGGGGATCTCCCTAATTGACAGGCACCCTCCCCTAAGAATGTCCCAGGGTCTCTAGATTTCAGGCAACACCTTATTTTTAGGCAAAATATCCCAAAGCAATGTATCCTGAAGAAGGACATAGGGATGAGCTCACTTCTAGCCCTGAGGAGCTGACTCAAGACCTGTACCATGCTTACAGATAGTAGGTGCTCTCCTCTTCTTCTTCTTCAGGAGGTGGCTCTCTCTGTTGACTGCCACGACACCAGGCTCCTCCTCTTTTCTGGCAAAAGCCTGTGTTTACAGAGCAGGATGGATCAGCCCTTCTAGCTGCCACTGGAAAAGTTCATGCCCAAGGTCTGAGAATCTCCTTGGTGCTCACTTGGTTCAGGATCTGTGGGAGATGGTAACAGAGAGCAAGCACAGCCTTACTCCACTCCCTCCATCCACAAGATGCAAATCCTTTCTGCCACTTCACTTTTCCTGGGAAGAGATGTGAAGTAGGAATTAGACTCTTGGTCCTTCAAGCATCAGCAAACACCAGGAAATGGTCCCAGCTCCTGCTGGGCTCTTGAATTGCTGGTAGGCCTCTCCCTTCCTACCCTGCCTAGGGAGACCAGGATCAAGGTCACTGGAGTAATTAATTTTCTGTCATAAGGAGTTAATAACCAGGTATGTCAGACATCTACTATTGGTTTGGCCAATGTTTATCAGAAAGAGCTGGTCATCTCTCACCCATGTTTGAGCTATAGACCGCTTCAATGTCTCCACTGCTTGTATCGTGCCTCCTCTGCCTGATACTTTGTGCTTGTGTTTCTGCAGTGAGCCAATCTGATTGCTATGTGAGGCTCTGGTTGCCAACAGCTTCAGATGAAATATTCCACACCAAAACCATCAAAAACTGCAGAAATCCTGTGTGGAACGAAACTTTCTACTTCCGGATACAGAGAAAGGTCAAGGTAAACAACCCAAAACCTCTCTTTTTTATCTAATCTCTGCACAATGTCTCTCAGTTTATCCCAAAACCCCTAAACTAGAAATATCTTCTAGTATATTTCTGAGTTTACTTAAAATTCCCCATACAAGCTGAAGCAAAGCAATTCTGGCTTTGCTGGAATCCAATTTACTCCTAACAGATAGTTGTTATTTATGTATGGGTAATGATAGTCTGACCTCGTTGGGGAAGGCTGATGGGACCCATGACTGTGACAACACAGAGAAACTGAAATTAAAATATAAAATTACACTGTAACAGAAAACCACATGTTCTTCTGAAAGGACATAAAGTAATGGCAGGGGATGATGCCAAATTCTAGTATGATTAAAATCTTTACTCAGTTTGCTCCTGATAATTGAACTACATTCAAATACCTGTGAGCAGGTGGCTGAAAGCAGAATGTCCAAGTACCTAGAAGAGTGATTATTGATATGAAATAATTAATCTCTGCTGCCCCTGCTGATATGAAGCAGTATAGGACTTCTGGTCATCCATATTCTTCCCTAGAAGATTGCATTTTTTATGAAATCTACTTAAAAGCATAACAGCTGACCCAAACAAGATGTCAGTTCAGCTTTAATTGATAAGACTAAGATCTGGTTCTTTCTACTTGCTTTCTTACTTTTCCTTCTCACACCTTTTCATTAATTCTTCTCTATTTCCTCTATGTAAAGCAGACACTAAGCCTGGAAGAGCTGCAGATTGTCATATTTCTTGTATGTCATGCTAGTGAATTGGATATTTTTAATTTCTTTTCCTAGAATGTTCTGGAAATTACTGTTTCTGATGATGATATCATTCATGATGATGACCGAGCAATTGTGCTTTTTGATGTAGCTAAAATCCCCCTTGGGGAAAGAGTTTTTACAGCATTCGCACTAACCCCAGAGGTAAGAGCTTGGTGAGACATTTAGTACAGCTTGATGTCCATTCTGTCCCCTCTGTTAAAGAGATGCACTCTCTCTTCTGGTTTTACCACCAGGAACAGCTTGGTGGTAAAGATGTAGCAAAATTTATTAGCATCCTGGAAACTGCACATCAGTGCAAAATAGATGGCCTTCTCAAATTCCTGTTAGTTTCCTTTGGCACAGGTCACGGCCAAATTTGCAAGCTGCAGAGTAGATGCAATTTTAGGGAAGCTTTGCACTTTCAATAATCTGATAGAAAATAATAATCACAAAGACTATAAAAACAAAAAGAATGCAAGCACAGGGAAATGGCCTGTTTCCACAATATTTTTCTAAACACTAAGCCTTAGAATATCATGTTCAGCACATGGAAGCTGGCAGAGAAAAAAGTGTGAAATACATTTGTAAGGGAGATTTTAAGCATCAAGCATCCTTTGTTCTTCAAGTACAGTTGAGCTCCTTGGGGAAGAAAAAGCTGCCTCTGTCCTTTTATGCTCATAATAGCAAGTACAAAACAGGATATTTTTACTTATTAAATTTAAAGGACACGGTGCCTGCAAAAATTAAAGTCACTTTGAAAATCTCTATACATGCTACTTGAGACAGCTTCTCTTTTTTTTATTTTCAGGGGAAGGAGAAGCTGGAAGTTGAGTTTGTATTGGAGACCATGTGAGTAAAACCCCATTACTGTTGGTAGCTTGGAGTTATGCATTAGTGCAGGGAAACCTTCCATAGATCCAGTACCACCTTAATAGCCAGAGACAAGTTTTTCCAGACTTAACATGTGCATTAAAAAAATCATTATATGAAAGGGAAAATTCCATGATGTGGAGAAGAGTTGAGAATTTTTAGTTCTGTGGCTTTCTCTTAAGATTTTTGACTTATGTAGTTCACAGTTGGCTGGCAAGCCCCACTGCAGTAAGTCTGCAGATTTACTGGACAGTGTTCTCTGAGAAAATCCTGGGTGAGGAGAATGTTGCTACCCAACTTGTGTCATGCCTGTGCTACTAAGGCTGTTGCAAGTATTTTCCAGGTGCCCTACAGGAATGTAATAATTTCTGCTGGGTCATTATGTGGCATCTAGTGTCAAGGGAGTATACTTACAGAAATAACAAGGAGCAAATAAAATAATAGTAATAAAAAATTCAGAGAAACTAATGTGTCCTATTCAGGACAGTATCCAGAATGTATTGTTTATAAATATATATTATTTGTTCTTGTTTTCCAGACAGGGTCCTCCTGAAACCATCATCACAAATGGGGCAATAGTGGTAAAATAATGTTTTGGTTTTTTGTCTTCTTTCCCACATCATTCCTTACTATAGCTGGCTATAATGTCAGTGAGGGAAACATTGCAAGTCTTCATTCTTTAGTGATATTTTCTCTTAGGAGCTTTATCTTTAAGGAGAACAGCATGATCTTAGAGGAGTCTTCTGACTATTATAATTTTCCCTAATTTTGTCTGCATCCATTGTCTGCATTGTCATTGAAAATGACAATGTGTTTAGCATAGCACCATCTTCCCATGTGACAATAAATTAATTCTCACATTCACTGTGTCTGGCAAAAGTGTCCAACACAGCTGCCTCCGCCCCATTCAAACAATGACCTTTCCTACAATGATCCTTTCAACATCTACCAGTACTGGTGGTGAGATAGCTGGATGAATTACCTAATTCTCTGTCCTCATCACACCTACCGCAGTGTCGTGAAGAAGCCTGTTTAGAAGTTCACTTGGACAGCAGGAGGCAAAAGAAGCGTTTTTCAGGTAAGATTATTACATCTTAAAATAAATATTGGTGATATTACTGCCTCTTAACAAGGCCTGGACATTACATCAGCAAAATACTAAGGCTTCAATTGATCATTTAAGGTGATCTGTGCAAAATGTGCAATAGGGAATGTCACCAGTCCTGCAGCAGGTATAGGTTCAAGGTTCTGACTTAATGGGGAGTCTTGTGCCAGACTAGAAACAACTAGAATCAGATGATTATATAGAAGGTATCTAAAACCCAAGTTAAGATTCTGCAAACCTCTGCTGCATTACTGCTAAACCCTGAAGAAGCTTAATTCCTTTTTAAAGTGTTATGGTTATATTATAGCATTAACTGTGCTCAGGATCTCTGTCACTTCAACTTACACATGTGCACAGAAACACCTCATTTTTTGCAGGCGTTAGCCACTCAGCAGCTGGCTCCTGCCTGACCCTGGTCAAGATTCAGAATCTAGAAGCTCCTCTGCCCACATCCCCTGAGGGGCTGGATCTGGTAGGCAATCTCAGAGCATGCATAATGCACACTGGCAGGATTAGCTGAACTATTCATATAAATAGGGTCATCTGCTGCTCATAAGAGTCAGATCTTATTTTAGGGGACTGAGAACTTCTTCAGCTCATTATTTCACCTGGGATGAGGATGATTTACTATGCAAAGTACCTGGTTGTACTCACTGTGTCTTGATGAAACTGCAACAGAAAAGCAGCAATCTAAATTTCAGTGCTATTCATGTCACGTTCCCATCTGACTTCTTGCTCAGCACCTTATAATGATACAGTCACCTGAAATGTTTGGGGTTTGGATCACTTTTAGAAGATAGTTTTCCAAATACAAAGGAAGAGGAGAAGGAATTTGTTCAAAGCTACATTTTGCTTCTTTTTTTCTCCTCTCTCTTTAATTTACAATTATAAGTAACTTTGTCTATGCATTTTATCTCATTGTTTTAGAGAATGAGCTAACATTTACAGTGAGAGGATCCTTTGAAGAAACTCAGACAGTTTCAGTGGGCTGTGACTCTCGCTCCCCTCTCCTAGATCCCACTTTCTTCCACTATGCCAGATACAAGCAACCCTCCTTGGATGTTGCACTCAGAAAGAAGAGGAAGCTTCCCACCTTTGTACGTTACCCCAGAACATGGTAGACACAGTTCTATGACCTGACATTTATGTGTGAGTAAAGAGAAAGCAAGAGGAAAATTTCTCTTTTAACCAACAAGCACTCCATGTTCCTTTTCAGTGTGCTTGCATGTCATGTGGACCAAGGAGAAGTGTCCCCTTGACAATCCCTCTGAAGTCACTCCCCTCTGAGCAGGAAGTAGTTGGTGAGGTGAGTGTCTGCTGGCCATGGAAAATCCTTTGCAAGCTTTTTAGAATTCTTTCTGATTTGCATGAAGCAGAAACCAAGGGCCAGTTCTCTTCTTACAGAGACAGTTGTTTTGTAACCTCCCTCCAAACCTAGGGCAATGCATAGTGAAGTGAATTATTTGGAACAAAATAAAATGGGAAATCCATGGGAAAAGGAGGAAGAAGAAAAATATCTAAGCTGTTGTACATGCTCCTTATACTGTCCATGTACTTCACCAAGCTGGAGGTGACTGGGTGCCACTGGGGCAGAGTGGCAAGGCTGCAGCCAGGCTCACTGCCCCAGGAAGCAAACCTGAGCCACAAGTGTGGGATGCTCAGCCTCTTGGGCTTCCCCTTGTATCTGACATTGTTATGTGAGAAGCTCTGGTTTCAACACCCATCTTCAGTGGGGGATCCTTCCAGGGAGGTGAGCTGTAGCACTGCAGCTCCTCTAGTATTTATTTGTGTAGCTGACCAGTACCAGGCAAGCTACACTGAGTTTTATGAGAGAGATAACATGTGGATGACAGATGACAGTGTATTAAATCAGTGCACATCTCTGGTTACTATTGAAAAATTGACAAGAGATCTGGGTTATTTAGGATTCAGACTTTTGTAGGTATAATGATGACTCAAAATATCTATGTCTCAGTCTGAGTGGGGGAAATGAACTCTTTTAAACAAAAGATCAATTTTCATCATTTTACCTTTTCAATTTTCAGCACAGAAAATTTGATTTGCTCCTTAAGGTGAAAAAATGGTAAGACACCTGTGGTTTTCCCCTTGGTTCTTTGTATTTAGATAGTTGTAAATCAAGTTCCAATCCCTTTGTTATTGCCTTTGTCCTGGATGCTGGTCCATCCTCATTTCAGACTATTAAATAAAATACACTCAGTACAGAATGCAAAGATTTTTAGCAATGGAGATTTTGTAGTGGGACAGGGAGTCAAGAAAAGGTTTTATAAAGAACACACCAATTTTCTATTCATACTGTGTATTGTGTATATACAGGTATATGGTATACATACATGTACTCTAAGATGTGGAAAAAAATTGAAATAATAAATGTACCTGTGTTTATTGTTTTAATGTCTACTCAATGAGATAAGTGCAAATAAATTCAGTGAAGTGATTGCTTATTTCTAAACCAAGGAAACACACTGTGTGTTTTGGAATATTGTTCAGGCCTTAGTAAAATCTATAAGATGGATTTGTTACATTATGATCCATATTGTAATAGATGAGAACTTCCAGAAAAGCATATGCTTTTTCCATCATGCTGTTTATTTTCAGTAAATATGCTATGAAATAATAAATGCACTTTACAGGTATCATTTAAAAACTTCTTCCTTAGAAGACTAAGGATTTTCATAGCAGCTTTCAAAGCACAATTGTAGTGCTTATAAGTATCAAAATAACATCTGGTCATGCAAATATACAAGTTCAGTAGAACACTTCCACAGGTATCAGTGGAAGTTCGCACAACTTTTAAAAGCCACCTTCGTAACACTGCCCTCTTCAGGTTTCTGGATTTATGTCTGAAAAGAAACGCCTGTTATTTATAGCTATATTTAATTCCAGGCATCTTTGTCAGAGAGAAAAAAAAAAAATCCTTTCAGTTCAAAGGCAGATGGACTGTTTTTCTCCAAGAAAAAAACAGAAAATTTAATATCGTCCTCCTTTGCTTTATATAGACCTGTAGTGAAGGCATGTCTATTTTTGAAGTAAAGCAATTAAAATGCTGGCTTAGACTCCAAATGTGATGTATGATACCTGATCCTTGCTCCAGCCAGGAAGACCTAGACGTACGCCTGGGGTTTGATCTGTGTGCCCAGGAACAGGATTTCATCTGCAAGAGGAAGAAGGTGGTTGCAGCTGCTTTGAAGGACATTCTCCACCTGGAGGAGGACTTGCAGGATGATGAGGTATCTGAGACATAATTGTTCTCTGCTTTCTGCACAGATAAGTGTCAAAACATAGCATTGATGAGCACATTTATTTGGAAACCCTGTAGTTTCATGTACAAGCTACAGCTGAGTTCTTTTCTCAGTGGCTGACTTCTTTTCTCTGTTCTAGGGAAGAAATGAGTACTCATCATAAACATGAATAAAAAGCTTAGCCCTGAAGCTAGAGAATCTAGCCTTGTGTTCAGTAGCAGTCTGCCCCACAACTGTAGAGAAGGGCTTGCTGCTCTCAGAACCAAGGCCAAAGTTTCTTTTTTTTGGCCAAATCTGAACAGTGGAGTCAGCACTTCATTCCCTCATAGTTAAAACTGGATTTTATTTTGTGTATCCTTTGTGCCACCATTTAGGTTCCTGTTGTGTGAACATAGCACGCAGCCAGTCTGACTTCATCTGCTCAGCATGTTCTTGCTCAGCAAACAGGATTGTTAACAGAAATTTTAAGGCAGGGAAAAATCATGTTTCTCTTCTTTTTAATTATGCACAAATGACTGGAGTGTGAAGCCTAAACTCAAATGCAGACATGATATATTTTTCTTGTTTTGACCTAAACTGAGTTCAGCTTTTCTTGCACAGCTGGACCTTTCAGACACAAGACTCTGCCCTTCAATGCCAGCACTAAGACATATGGGCTGTTCCAGTCCCCTCAGATGTAAAGCCCATACTTCCCTGCAGAACATGCAATCTCTCTATATTCTTCTGATTTGTATGCGACATTCATTCACTCCAACGCACATTAGCTGTCTTTACTGTTAAAGAAGCCAATTCATGTTTATTAATCAATTCTGTTTCTAAGACTGCCAGTCCATGGATTTCTGTATAATCACATAAGCAAGTAATTGCAGCTCATTGCATATCTAGTACTGTATATACATATGTGGTAGGTGGAGTGAGCATGGTTTCTCTGTCCCTCCAGAAACTTTAAAAGGGAATGGTGTCACCAGCCCCTGGTTTCAGGGGTTCTGAACTGCCTGTGCTCTTAAATCCATCAATCATGACATTTCTAGTATGGCCTGTGTAATAACTGTACAATAATTTCAGCAAACTTCAGGGAAAGAGAAATTATTATTGCTGACATGGAATCTGTGAGACACCACTGATATATTCTGGTCTGATAATAATCTAATTCAGATGAAAGAAGGTACCACTTCCTCTAATTTTTTGCTGCTCTGTGTTAAGGGTTTTCAAACAGAGCACTAATAATGTGATAATGGATTTCATGTTCCATTGCATAGCTGCTTGATAGAAGAAAATATGAAGTATTTCTTACTCCTTTCATGCCTCATTATTAATTCAGGTTTTTCTTCATGTTGGACTGGCGGCATGGTTTCACTACTTTTATCAGTGCTGTAAATTTCTCCTTCTAATCAGAGATGTCTCTGCCCCTTCTCATATCTGTCACTAAATGTGTGTATTTTGGGATTGAACAGGTACCTGTGGTGGCAATCATGACAACAGGAGGTGGAACCAGAGCTCTGACAGCCCTGTATGCTCACCTCCTCAGTGTGCAGGAAATGAATGTCTTGAACTGTGTCTCATATATCACTGGTCTGTCTGGAACAACATGGTAAGACCAAGATAAGAACACAGGAATTTTCCATAATTGACATCAAGGAGTGTTATTGAGTTATATGAGATTGACTATCAAGAAAAGGCTTTCTTTTTCTGCTGTGGCTTTTTTGTTGTTGTTTCTTTCAGTGGATATTTTACAACATTTGCAATTAATTAAATATGTGGATAGTACCAAACCCATGTTGTTTTTTCATATAAGTGAAGACATAATACACAAACATCCGTAACTTCCCAAAGCTCTGCTTCACAATTCATACTTTTCCTTGTGGGTTTTTTGTTTGTTTTTTAGGACCATGTCAAACTTGTATGAAGATCCTGACTGGTCCCAAAAGGATCTCAAGGAAACCCTCAATGACGCCCGAATGCATGTACTTAAAAATAAGTTTGTTACTTGTTTTGCCCCTGATCGTCTGAAATACTATTTGGAAGAGTTGCGCCAGAGGAAACAGGAGGGACATCAGCTGTGTTTCACGGATCTGTGGGGACTCATCATTGAAACCATGTTACATGATAAGGTACAGTAACAACACTTTTCAGATTTGAATGTCTAGTGAATACAGCAGTGGGGAAAGACAGTAAATAAAAGCTAGTTGAGGTTGGAAGTAACCTCTGGAGTTCATCTTGTCCAAGCAGGATTAGGAAGGGACAGTTACCCTGAACTATGGGCTTTGGATAACTCCACAGCTGAAGACTCCACAAATTCTCTCGGCAAGACATGCCAATGTTTTTTCACTCTTATTCAAAATAGGTTTTTTTTCTTGTTTGTTTGTTTTTCATATAGATGCCTAAAGCATGTGCCTTGGCATTCATTATGTTTGTTAGCTGTATTATACAGATCTTAACTTCACAGAAGGTACCTCTTCTGGTACAGAAAGGATGGGAATGAAAAGAAATAACAGGAAACTTACAGTATGAACATCTTTTAATTTATTCCTCACAGAATCTAAAAGGGACAATTCACAAGGGCATGTAGTGATAGAACAAGGGAGAAATGGCCTTAAGGTCAAGGAGGGTAGATTTAGATTAGGTATTATGAAGAATTCATCACTATGAGGGTAGTGAGGCACTGGAACAGGTTCCCAGAGAGGTTGTGGACCCCCATCCCTGGAAGTCTTTAAGATCAGGTTGGATGGATAAAAAACTGGTGTTGTGGAAGGTGTCCCTGCCTATGGCCATAGGTTTGGAGCTAAGTGACTTTTAAGGGCCCTTCCAACCCCAACCATTCTGTGATTTTGTGAATTCACATGTAAATATTTGAATGAAAATTCTGCCGTTCTTTTAAAAGAGCTGCACAATAAGGCAAGGCAAAGGAAATTCACAAGTCTGAAGACAGTATCTCTGAGCTGTTAGTAAGACATCACCCTGCAAACATTTCCATCAAGAGCTGTGTTCAGGCTCTATTTTAATCTTCATTAATATTTCTTTCCCACTAGGCCATTTATACTTTAGAATGAGAAAACATTCCCCCTGTAATATGATTAACTCCACACACATCCACATTTCTACTGCCTGGTCACAGCACAGTGGTAGAGACTCCCTGGGATTGTGTTCAGCAGGGAGCTGAGAGTGTCCCCCCAGCCCTGTCCCCTGACTAACTATAGCCCAAGGGAAGCCTGGTGGCATTGGTGACACAGCCATCCTTCCATGGGCTGCTCTACTGAGGGGGAGCACCTGCAGCTCTGCTTGTAGGAGCACACTCAGAAACCTTGGTTCTGCTCCCAAACCATCCCACCCTTTCCACCCTGCCTGAGCTCTGCAGCAGAAGGGCTAAGGCTTGTGGAACACTAACTCTGCATGAGCCTTGTCTCTGTCACAGGTCTGAGGAAAAGGTGTTTTTCTGGGCAGTCACAGAGTGCTTTACTCTTTCATAATGAAATATTTCCTGTCAAGAGTGCTTTCCAAATATTCCCAGACATTTTTCTGAAATAAAAAATGTGGGTAACAGCATTTTCTCCTTACAATATTCTTTCAACATATGAATTTAGGATTATTTGTGTGCAGAAGCGTTGGGGCAGGGATAGGGTTGACATCACCCTTCTGAACTAAGAAACCAGGGAGCATCCTTGTTGGAGTCATATATGCACTTCATTGTCAGAAACCAGTTTTAGATGAAGTGAGAGGCTCTTTATGTCATCCAATTGTCCTCAGCTACTGTCATTCTTCCAAACAGGAGGACTGCCATAAGCTCACAGATCAGCAGCAGGCACTAAATCAGGGTCAAAACCCCCTGCCCATCTACCTCTCTCTCAATGTGAAAGATAAAATCAGCGACCAGGATTTTAGAGGTAACAATACTCAGAATTGCATTCAACATTTAATCCCAATTGGGGTCAATTTAGGATTAGATAAGGATATCAATTCAATGCACAAATACTCTAACAGGCGAATACACCTCAGAGGAGCAATTTAATAGTTAATATTTTGAAGACCTTAGTATAATTCAGTATTCAGGATCAAAAGCAGGACAATAGAAGACATTATGCCCTTCTGTAGAAACTATAAAAAAGTTTCTAAAGACATACAGATGTAAGAGGACAATTTGTTCTGCATGCTCACCACTGTGAAATGTACAGTGAATACATGCCTGCTTGCAAAGGGCATTAATTAGAAACCAGTCTGCCTTAACATGGCCAATATAATGTTTTATTCAAATAATTGTGTCTCTGCTGTTGTAATAAGTCTGTCTTATGCCTTTTCTTTTAGAATGGGTGGAATTCACCCCTTATGAGGTAGGATTCCCAAAATATGGCGCCTTCATTCCTGCAGAAGATTTTGGCAGCGAGTTCTTCATGGGCCGCCTGATGAAGAAAGTCCCAGAATCCAGAATCTGCTTTTTGGAAGGTGATTTGTTGTTCTGGGGAAAATTAGTATAATATAATCTGCTAATGCACAAACCTCTCTTCTGTAATTAAACAATTATTGTGTTTTTATCTGCCAGGAGCAGATAAATAGCAGATATAAATAGCAGATGTGGTAAAATACCAGAACTCATAACAGGTCACAATCTGCAGGATTTTTCATTTTCTCTGTGATCTTATTCATCTTAACAGATTTATTGATTTAATCTTTAGTTATGCTTACTGACAGGAGACCTTCACCTATATATATTTGTCAGCAACAAAAGTTATGCATCATTGCTGCTAAATAAAATAATTGTTTTTTCCTGCAGCCTGAGTCTCTAAAATATACCTTTATATCTACAAAGTTCCTGCCACATCTAGCTCTGATTAATTCTTAAGATAAAAATTTTCATTTCAGAGTGCAAATAGGTCCTAATATTTATCTTTTTTCCCCTCTTGCATAAAAAAGTGAAAGCAGTAAGGAAATCTTTCTTCCCTTTGCAAAAGCAATCTCTTGCCTCATTGTTCTTTCTACTTCCACCTATTGCATAAAGGAAAAAGGAAGTTTCAGGGGTTTTTTTGAGAAGCTGAAACTTTTTGCTTGTGTGGAGATTTTACTACAGCTAATGGTGAGGTGTAAGGAAGCAACTTAGAATCTCTCTGTCCCTGGCTGCAGTTTCTGGTAAGGACCCAGGTCTTCCCTTCTGTGATCAGAAATGCTCTCAGGTCACCAACCCCTTTCTACACCTTGGCACTTTCTTCCTACCTTCTCTAGAATGATGCGGGGACATTTCTGCCCCAGTTTCCTGAAGTGTCTAGTGACACAGTTATTTGAAAGGTTTACATCAAATTTCTTTGCACTCCATTTATTTTCTGTCAAATACATCCTGTGCCACAGGGATCTGGAGCAGTGTATTTTCCTTGAATCTCATGGATGCTTGGTATATATCTGTTAATTCAGAAGACTTCTGGCACAAATGGACACGAGACAAAATTACTGACATAGGTGGGTTATTCTTATGTGACTCTTGTTTTATCTTTCTTTTCCCCTCTGTGCTGCTACTCTCTTCCTGAATTTTTCAAATCCCTTTTAGAATGTTCTCTTCAGGAATTTCAATTATCCACATGCAAACCAGAAGGAAATTCATGCCATGTATAGCAATTATTTCAGTTGTATGTGAAAAGTACCCATAGGATCCATCACAGAAAAATAAGAGAGACAATGGCCCTCTTATGTTTTCTCAGCACGAGGGTACACCTAGAGGAAAATATCCCTGTAGATGGGAGATGTTCACATAGCATTCCACAACCTTCCAGCTCGTCTCTCAGAAGCTGAAGCATCAGAGAAATGAGAGTAAACAACATCCTTGCATCTCTGAATTCTACAAAACATTGACACAAATTTCAGTATTATTGGCAGTCATTCCAAACTAGCATATGGATGAGATTTGCAAAATATGATACAAAATTAAGAAATATCTGCAGGATCAGATTTCAAGGACAAATACACAAGATAAACACATTACAAAGAAAAGATTACAAGGAAGAGAAGAATTTCAAAAAGGCTTACATATTTTATCTTCTAGTACTTGTAAGGGAGTAATTTCTGGTTGTTAAATCAAGGATTCTGTATTTGCTAGTGAGAAACATTAATTATGTTTGTTTGGCTGAGAGATTGTTATTGTGTGGCCTTTTATGTGTCTGAGAGAGAAAATGTGGCATGGGGTAGCAAAGGAAGACAAAGTTAAGTACAAGATATTTAATGGATAAAATCATAGCAAAGGAAAGAAATTTCTAGTAGGTGAGATGGAGTCTTTTGCAGTACAAATAAAGAATTTATCACTGTGATATGAAAAGAAGAAAGGGATTTTTCAAAGCTTAGTTAAAAAAAAAAGAGAGAGATTTGTGAAAATCCTGGAAGTAAACAGATAAAGAAGTCCAAGTTTTCCAAATATATTAAACCAAAGGATGACTGCTTAGATTGACTTCAACAGTGGAACCACATATATAATCTGTTATTCTTTATTCTGCAGATGATGAAGCCATATTCCCCACAAGACCAAATGAGCTGGATACTCGAGTGGTTTGTCCTCCTGACAGCTTTTCAGAAATATTCCGAGATGTTGCAATGTTACGTCCAGCAGCCTCAGAAATCCATAACTTCCTGAAAGGCCTCCAGATAAACAACAACTACCTAGAGAGCGAGTTTTCCAAGTGGAAAGGTATGGTAACAACACCCTGCTTTGAGTTATAGTTTAAACCATCCTTGTGAAAAAGAAACAATCCTTTAAAAGTTATCAAGCTGCTTTTTTGTTTTGTTCTGATAGAATTTGAAGCTGTCACTGAAAGCTAAGAATATGTAGCAGGAGAGGCTTCAAAATAAGTTCTTTTAAAAAATTCATAAAGTCTCACGACTGATAGGTGAGAAGAATCCAAGTCACCCATGCTCAAGGGATGTGGCAGAAAGCTTAGTTTCCTGTTACAATTTTACTTCTAAGTAAGATATAATCTTTATCACAGTATTCCCTGTCATCCAGGTAGGGAATTTTTTTGTTCAGTCTGGCACTAGATATTCATTGTAGCTGTGTGCTGCTTCTCATAGTGAGCAAGGCAGCCAACATATTTAGTCTTTTTACTGTGTTGAGAGAGCAAGGTGCCATTTTAATTTGTTTCAGATTAACAGAAAAGAAAAAAAAAGGAAACAAAAAACCACACGAACCTGATCAGAGTCACACACACAAGGTGAATTAAGTCTATTCTCCTGGGCCCTAAGTTAATGCCTTGTAGTCAGAGGAAAACCAAAGAAATTGCAGAGTAAAGAGTGAAAACAGGAAGCCATATGAGGAACTGAGAAATTACTGAACTGCAGCCACCAGCTATATAAGCAGGTCTAGGATCCAAGAAAAGTTGAAGGCCCTTTTTGTCAACAGTAGAATTCCCTCAGCACTTCCCTTGCATTGGGCACCTTCTCTGAAAAAACATGCTCATTTCCTAGACTGTGAGCTGGACTCCCAGCCCAACCATCTGACAACAGCAACAGACTACCTCATCCTGATTGATACTGCATTTGCCTTTGCTACCAGTTACCCACCCCTTATGAGGCCAGAAAGGAAAGTGGATGTCATTTTGCATTTCAACTACAGCTCAGGCTCACAGACAGGGGTGAGTCTTGCAGATTGTTCTTCACTGTTTTCTCTGTTTCATCACTGAGTCCCCAGAATGGCTGATCCTCTACTCGTAGAAACTTTTGGTTTTCCCCATATCTGGGAAGTGTTGATAACTTAACAGTTTACTGTTAACTGGGGGTCACCTATCTTTATGGAACAGTAAAAATGTTATCAGGAAGTAATAATTTAGTAAACTGTACCTGCCCCTTATTACATGTAAGTGGTTTTAGATGGTTTGAAGGCTGTCAAAAGTAGAATGAATAAAGCTAATTGCCTTTAAACATTTTCTAATATTTCTCAATGCAACCATACATATTCCTATACAAGGATACATGTACCGTCAGGACAATATAACTGCAACAATAGAAGGGTTTGATGTAGAAGACAAGATATGCAAATAAATGCAAGAACAGTTTGCATTTAGGAATGTTAAATTCCTTAGGAATAAAAAGCTGTTTAAAGGCAATTTTTTCATAGCCAAATGTGAAACACAGCCAATGTAGATTTTCAGATACAGGCATGTGGACTCAGATCCATCTCACTTAACTCTGGCCTTCCAAGGCTTGGTTCCATAAACAGCCAACACCTAAATTGGATATGTACCATAATCTGTCAGGACCTATCCCTTGCCCCACAAATATTCCCAGTGAGATTAGATTTTGGTCAAATCTGAAGTTCTTCCCATATGTTCTGATGTTTTCTTTTGTTTTGTTTTCCTATTGTGGCAACAAGCCCCTGAAAGATGCCTCTAAATACTTTGCGAAACAGGGAATTCCTTTCCCTACAAAGGTGCCAGACGATCAGGAAACTCCACATCTGAAGGAATGCTACATAGTTGGTGATAAAGAGAGCCCAGAAACACCTATTGTGATATTTTTCCCTCTAGTAAATGACACCTTCAGGGAATACAAAGCACCTGGTAAGTTAACAGTTACCCATCACATTACAGCCAGTGGCCACTTTCTTCCTCTTTTTTACTGTATAATATCTTTTTTCAGATCACACTGTAATAATAAACTTGAACTCTCTTTGCTTAGATCTGAACCATATCAAGAAACTTAAAATATGTGATTTTTACAGGACAGTAGAGAAGCATGTGGCATTAGCCTTTGGCACATATTTTCCTCTTCAGATTTTTTTGGCTTTTCATAAGCAGATTGCAGTTATTTGAGGAAAACAATATTTTGTTTATCTGCAGTAGCAGAAATTACCAGGGGTAATTTCCTCTCATACTTGTCATCCTCTTCTGTTAGAGAATGCTCCAAGGAGTCCAAGGATTTCATTGTTTAATATAATTTCTAGGCTTACAGTTAGGCAGATAACCTTGAAAACAAAACTATGAGCTAGCAAAGTGATGAAAATGTAACAGTGAAGCATAATGACATGATGAAAGTACAACACTGAGCCATTCCAACAGTGTCTGTTCCCTTTGAAATGGAAAGAGTTTCAATAGCAACATTGCCAGACTTTTAAACTGATGAATTCTAAGTTCTGGTACCATATCCCACATGCCATAATATTCTCTTGCTACCAAAGCCTTGGTTACTCCTTCTCCAGATGCTAAAATTCCTAACTCAGATTGTGAGTTCACTTCAAAGCCCCACAGTATACTTGAAAGCCAGAAGTTCTAGGTTAGTACATGGTACATTCATTTTAAAACCAAAACAAATGCAGAAACTATTGGCCCAGCTGTATCAATCCTTATCCTTTTATATTAAGTAAGTTGTAAAAAATAATATGGTACTTTTGTTTTGTCAATTGAGTTCATTGCACATTCGAGGTGTACAACCGGGGTTTTAAACAGGATTCAAATAGACTAAAGACATTTATGCTTGTACACACACCATTCTACTCCAGCTCTCACCAAAGATGAGATAGCCCAAAGGTTGGTTTCTGCAGTTGCCTTTTGTAGACAGAACTAAAGAGAGGGAAAATGAAGAAAGAAGTAGAAGGAGAGCTGAGATTTGATTTCTGTACTGCTCTTCTATACTGAACTGCTCTTTTATATTTCTCTGTGACAGGGTTTGCTTACCTTCTTCCCCTCAATAATTTCCAGAAATGAGGGATGTCTAGCCTAAGTCAGTTATCTACTATCAGGTGTACATCTGATGATGTGCAGATGTTAAATGTCAACATATATCATCAGTGAGTCTAAAAAGGGGTGTTTCTAGGTATGAAGAAAATGAATTTGAAGACCTGCACAATATCTACATATTGCATACACTTGAGGCAAGCTTGTGTTGCCCAACCGGTTCAGCTGGTAGCTGCAAGATGAGACTAAACAGGAAGAGAAAGAAGAGGTCCTCTCATGCTCCCTTGAGCAGAATGTCAGCTGAGCTGGCATGAAAGGGCTCTGTGCAGGCAGATTTTTTTTGGGAGGACTGACACCTTGCACCTGAGACTTGACCTCCATAGCAGCAGGATGGATGTTGCAGATGGTTCTGTGAGGCTGGAAAAGGATGTCTGCCTTTTGTTAGTGACAGGCAGAGATCAGTGTAACTTATAGGGCTTCAGTAGCATGCCCTAGCCCAGATCTAAATTGTACAACATGCAAGGTTTTAGTACAATCACATGAACAGGCAGTTTTTCCATAGGCAGTTCATCCATCACCTTGTTCTGAAGGGGAATTTAGAGTCTGGGCAGTAAACAAGTAAAACAGACATATTCAAACTGGTTAACTTCTTACTATTAGTCTATTCCATAATCAAGTATAAAGGGTCTCTGTGTGAGACCTTAGACTGTTTCAGCTGAGTGGCACCAATTCACTGTAACTCTGTCTGCAAAGCTGAGAGGAGTACATCTATTGGACTCCAACAAGCCCCTCAAAGAAAATCAGAACCCTTTGACTGATGTTGTTAGATACATGCTGGTAGAGAAGATTCCCCAAATGCATGAGGTCCTGTCAGGGAGATGCTGACTTTTCCCAGTGCCTACTCCCCTGCCGTGGCTCAGGTGCACAGGTATTGTGACTGTGGAGGGTGCTTGTTTCCTACAGTAATGCCCTCTTGGCAATGTGATGGTCTCACTGGACGCTGACAGAAAAATTCTTATGTTTCTGATACTCTCTCTGACAGTATTACCTACCATTTCTGGGTTGCCAATGCTCTCTTTCCCTCACGCCAGCTGTCAGAAAACAAAAGGGTCTGTGGAAGTGATGAGGAAGCATAAAAACATATGTGAACCTGGTTTGATCTGGGAAAGAGTTAATTTTCCTCCTAGCAGCTGGTATAGTGCTTGTTTGGGATCTGGAATGAGAATTGTGTTGCTCTTCCTTTTCTGTCCCATTAAACCGCCTTTATCTCCACCCACATTTTCTCCCTTTGCTCTTCTGATTCTCTCCTCCCCCAGTGGTCAGGGGGTACTGAGCAAGCAGCTGTGTTGCTTAGGAGCTGGCTGGGGTGAATCCATGGCGTGAGATTACAGGACACAGCAGTGGATCTCCACCTCCTCAAGTCTCTGCCCATGGGTGGGATCTTCAGCTGTCCTTTAGCAGTCAAAGGCACGTACTGAAATCCAGTAATCTTCAAAATCCAACAAAATTAATTTACCTCTTCCCTTCCAAGAACCTATTTATTCCATGTATTAGTGGATAGATAGAAGCTCAGCCTGCTCCTATGCCATGTCCCATCGGTGCAGGGCCGAGCAAAAAACTGATTTAGTTTAGGTTTGTGATCCATTGTTTGTGCATGCCTGAGAAACACCCAGACCCTAATTGTTTTTTGCAAATTAACCAAGCCATTGCTTGTCTGTTAGGTGTGAAGCGTAGTCCCTCAGAGATGGCAGAGGGTGAGGTTGATGTGGACAATGCCTGTGGCCCATATTACATAAACAATCTGAGCTATTCAGAGGAAAATTTCGACAAACTGGTGAATCTAAGTTACTACAATGTCCAGAACAACAAAGATTTGATTCTTCAGGCCTTGCGTACCGCTGTGGAGCGGAAAAAGCAGTATAAGAAAGAGCAAGCGCTGCAAAAACCACCCGGTGGCTGCAGCACGCGTGTGCCTGCCAGAGAGGGAACCCAGCACTTGGCTGACTGCCCAGCACCAGGGCATACGAAATAAACCATCATCCTGTTGGTGAAGAAGAAAAGGAATTTTATTAGGAAGTGAAGAAAAGCCAATGAACGCTAAGAATAGCACTTCATTTGTCATCAAAAAATGTTAAGCCTGTCTATCAGTGGAGGGAATAAACTCAAAAAAACAGCTTTTCCTTAATGAACTCATTTGCTTCCCTCATTGACAACCTCAGAAGCATGGCTAGATGAAGCTCTGCTCCACCATACTTGCAGAAGCGACCTTCCAGGCCAGGGCCAAACTGCGTGCACAAGGAAGTGTGAGGAAGTTTACACTGACTGTTTGTGCTCTAGCTGTGCTATAGAAACCAAGGATTGCCGGGCCAGAAATGCAGCAGAGAACAAAATGCATTGTCTCGAAAAAAAAATATCAAGGAAGCCATTTGTGAACTAAGAAATCTTTATGTGAATGTAAATAAATATTAAATTTATATAATAAACCACTACTTCTGAGTAGGAGTTACAGCAAATAAATAGTTTTCCTATCAAATACACGTTTCAGCCATTTATTTTAGGTGCTTCTTCCTCAACTAGCAAGACAAAGAAAACATACAGATATTTCATAGCTGCTGAAAAAATCATTGAAGAAGAATGTATACCTGCTCCAGACCTAGATGTAAGCTAGTTCAAGGTTCTGGGACCCCTTGAGTTTAGGATTACAACTAAGACCCATCTATACAAGAATCAATTCATATTCATTTGTTTTAGCAAGCTGAATTTAAATGCTATTGATAATAACAAATGTCTTTTAATATTGATAATATTAAAATGTTTGAGACTATTACATCAAAAACACAAGAAACACAGACAAAGCAAAACAGAAATTGTGTACCTAATATCACTCATGCGAATGTGATTTTTTAAACTTGCTTTAGAGTATAGCAAGTGAAGTTAACAGAGAATCAACTTTCAATTTTCTGATGCTTTGGTTGTGAGACTAATATGCCTCTTTTCCAGCAAGCAGTCTGGGTTTTTGACGATGGAATCTGTAAAAGTCTACATTCATTCTTCTTCAAATTTTTTAAATTCAATGCTATGATTTTATTTATTAGACATCTTGTATCCACAAGCCCATGTTTCCTACAGGCTTCTCCACTCCTGAATTCTGCTGTAGTACTCTTTGTCAAGAAATCCTGTTATTGTGGGCCAGAAATGGAAGTCTTACAGGTTCCTTTGCTCTCAAGGTCGAGGGTCTCCTCCTAGGTGGTGCACAGGGATGTAACCCCTCTGTTTGCCACTTAGGTCAATGAACACTTACCTGGTGAGCATGCTACAGGAGCCCATACAGCTCCTGGGGGGTATGCCCAGAGTTTATCTCCCATGGAAACGAGAGAGCAAAGACAGCAGTCATGCTGATGAATGCTGGATCTCATCATAGTATGGGATGGGATGTAGCCAGAGGGCACAGCCAGACCTGGGAATTTGGAAGCACTCCCAGGTTCCCATATACAGTTAGAGCTTTATTGTCTGAAGGGCAAAAATTATTTCACCAAGAGCAGGAAGCATCTAGGCAGGAAGTCTGAAGACAAGCAGAATGAGGTGTGTGAGTGCAGACACTTCCCTGCCCTTCCTGCTGCTTTCCAGCAGACATGAAACGGTCATGGAGAACAATGAGCACTTACCCCATTTCAGAAATCTTGTGTGGAATAATTACTCTATGTGCAACAAGAATACAGAGGGAAATGTCAGGCCTGATCGAGGAGGTGGAACTGCTTCCACACGAGGTACAAATAGCTGAGGAATCTGCAACCTAGAAAAAAACAGGAGGAGTGAAACGTAGAGAAGAGAGAGGAACAAAAAGTCTGTGCACGTCTCTTCTACCACATGACCTAGAGAGGATCAGACAAAACTAGCAAACAGCAGGTTTAAACAAAGTGGGGTGGTTCTGCACACATGCAATTAAAGTTTTCTTGTTGATAAAATTTTATGCATTCAAAAAACTGATTGAGGCATTCACTAGAAAAATTTTAGGGACTGAAAAATACAATGGCTCTGCAACTGCCTCAGTCCTGCACTGAATCATGAATTCCCAGAGACTTGGATGATAGTCTGAGGCAGTATCATACCTGCCCTGTGAGCTATGTGAGCTATGTAAGCTTCTCCAGTCACTAAATACTGGATTTAGCACCACAGATGAGGGGGAAAGGAACCTCACTCCATACTGCAGTACTTAGGTTTTCCACAGCTCAGATATTTTTTTCAGATAATTAATAATTAGGAGCAGTCAGACCTCTAAAGATGTGCTGATACAAGACTAATTTAAAAGAAATTACTGAAGTAAAATAGAGAAGGTGTAAGTAACTACAAGGATAACTTAATTACATATTAATTAAGCCATAGAGAAAATGAATGGCAATTAAAGGAATGCAAAAATAAATTATGAAAAGGAGATTTTAAAAACTGAGGAAACCAGTCAGCAAGACCCTGTGTGAAATGGTATAAAATCTTTTGACTCAGCATGGAAATTGCAACAAGAGAGTTGCAAAATATATGCACAGCCCTAAATAAAATGCAAATCAAGGAACCAAAAAAAAGCAAAGTGGTTAAATGCCCAGAACTGAGCATTGCTAAAGTCTAACATCTGCTCTTTGAGGAACAGGATAGAGAGGAAGGAGATGAAAAGAGCTTATCTAAACCTGCTGATGTGATAAAGCATATCCCAGAGCATATCGAGTAAACACAGCATTCAATATGGAAATGAGGATGAGGAAAGGTACATGGATAAAAATGTGAAACGGTAGATGTACTGGACCAGCAAAAGGGGATTTAAATTATATGGATGCTCTGAAGGAGCCATAAGTTGTCACACAAAAGGCATAGTTGTAATAGTGTTTAAACACTGTTTCAGCAAAAATTTCCACTCCTTTTCTTTTAACTGAGATCCCAAGTTGTTTGTTTGTTTGTTTGTTTGTTTTGGATTTTTTTTGGGGGGGGTTGTTTTTTTTTGTTTGTTTGTTTGTTGGTTGTTTTTTTTATTTACTGAGCACAAACTTTAATGTCAAAGGACAAAAAGTACTTGTCTTATTGATTTCCCCAACGTTGTAGTGAATCTGGTGTTACTCCACTAAAATCTCCTGTAAAATCAATGGGCAAGGTAGCTTAACACAACAGGACCTAAGGTTAGAGCTAATGGCCGTATCTTCTACACACGTCTCACAGAAAGATTTCCATTTTATACTAAGATTTTTTCACTGTGCTTAAAGCAGTTGCCCGATGTCGTAGCTAAACACCACGGCCCTTAGTCACACATTTCTTTTGCATCCAAAGACAGCAACCATCATCAGAAAAACACGAAAAGCATTTGGGCGATTCTACGTCCAGATCGGAGCTGTCAAAGCGTTTCCGGATTTCATCGCAAGGGGCTGAGAGTTTAGCGCAGAAGAGCAGCAGGCACAATTAACATCCAGAGGGGTACTTTTGGCAAAAAAAAAAAAAAAAAATAGGGTTAAAAAAAAACCCACCAGACGAACTTCCCCTTCAGTAGCACCCCAAATCCCCCCGGTTTCCCAGGGTGTGTGCTGCAGGGAGAGGGGCCCCGCCCGGCCGCGGAGCGGAGCGCGCAGCGCCGTGGCACCGCCTCCGCCGGGGCCGGGCGGGTCCGCGGCGGCGGCTGCGTGCGCGGGAGGCGCGGCGGCGGCGGCGGCGGCGGCGGCGGCAGCGCGGCGGGACGGCAGCGGCGGGATGTTCAGCTGGCTGGGGAAGCAGGGCGGCGGGCGGGAGCGCGGCGGCGGCACCGACGTGGTGCAGACGGTGACCGGCGGGCTGCGGGACCTCTACCTGCGCAAGCTGCTGCCGCTGGAGGAGCACTACCGCTTCCATGAGTTCCACTCGCCCGCCCTGGAGGAGGCCGACTTCGAGAACAAGCCCATGGTGCTGCTGGTGGGGCAGTACAGCACTGGCAAGACCACCTTCATCCGGTAGGTGACCCCCGGCGTGCGCGGCCGCCGCCGGCCGCTCGGTCATCCTGGCTCACCCTGCCCGGGTGGTGCTGCCGGCGGTCAATCCCTCCCACGCCCTGGCCGAGCACCCCGCGGCTGCGGGCCGAGGCCGGGCAGCGCCGTGCGGTGACACGGCAGCGCTGGCGCCTGCCCGCGGCCGGTGACCCCGCAACGAGCGGGGCTTACCGAGAGCCTCCGTGCTCTGGCGAGGGTGGCGCCGCTGCCGACCCTGTTACACGCTCTCTAGCTCGCTGCTTGCTTCCTGTTCGAGAATATTATCCCTAGTTCGTGTTCTGCTGAGAAAGTGCAACCCCGTTGTCTACTTCCTCGTAGTTCTTTTAATCCCTAAGTTATTTCAAAGGAAAACCAGGGACTTCGTGGTAAAACTGTATGACTGCGCTGGCCATGAGGATCACTTAACTTTATCTCCTCCCCTTTCTTTCCCAAAAGTAGCTTAATGCACAAATCGGATGTGATCATAGAGGAGTAAGGTGACAAGAGTTTTGGGCAAAAATCACGTGGTATCTGGAAAGTCTTCCCTTCCATGTGTGTTTATTTTGATCGATTACATTGAAGAAGCAGTATCACTACTAAGGCAGCTTAACAGTGTTGTTCATGTTGTAGTATTTTCTGTCTTTCCTGTATCCTTATTTCTAGGTTTCTTAGTGACTCATTTTTAGGAAGCTGGAGCATATCTCAGATAAGCACAATGCTATGAATCTGTAACTATTTTGCATATGTTTGTCCCTCTCACATGCCCCTTAAAAATCCGTCTAATGTTTTGCCCAACTCTGCAAGAGACACTGAGGGGTCACATTTTGACCTGCTTGTATCTGAAGTTCATTATAGTCCTTCTGTAAAATTTACAAGTATTTATCTTTTAGTTCCAAAGATTACAGGCAGCCTTTCCATAACACTGTTTTCTTTTTCCACGGCAAAATACCTATCTCCCCTCTCCGCTGAAGATCAATGTTTACCTTTAATCACCTGAGAGCTTTTCATATGTTTACAGAACTAATAATATGTCTTTTCAGATCTTACAACTAGCTAATTGAAAGCTTGAAGTCGAACATGGTTTCTTTATTGATTGTTACTGAACTCCCACAAACACAGAAAGAAATGCTGCTCGGAGGAATATTTTAAAAATAGAAATAGGTCTGTAATTAAAAGAAAAACTTTGTTTCAGGATCTCCACAGACAGTCACAGGTTGTGAGTGGGGGGAAGGGTTGTTGAGATGAATTTTTTCCAATGTTTCTCTCGGCATATTAATTCATTTTCTTCTTTAAAATTACAGTTGCTTCGTTAGTCTGTATATATTTCCAGGTAAGTGTTGTTACTTGGCTTATGGACAAGGGATGGGGAGAGCACAGGTAATAGAGAAGGAGGCAGAATTGTCACAGATATGTGCATACCAGAACTTGCTGCCTGTCAGCAGCATTGTTCTGTTATTTGCAATGCATGGAAAATTCTGTGTCTACCCTCCTGTAAGAGTTTGTCTTGGCTGAGAACACAGGTTCTTGGTTTATGGACATTCAGCTTTTCTGTCCTTTATAGCTGCCCATATTCGACTGAAGTGCAAGTCAGTATTGTGCTTAGAAACATTAGTATTCCTTGCAGTGCCTTATGTGTATTTTTGCTACTGTTAACAAGTTACTATGTGTGTTTTTGCTACTGATAACAAGTTACTTTGTGAGTAACTTGTTATCACTGTAACAATAAAATGCTGAGCAAAAGGGTTGATTGATACTAATGTACAGTCTGAATGAGAAAAGACCTGTGCTTTATTATAGCCCTTGCCAGCTTTTTTCAGCATTTGTCAGTGCTAGATGAAGATGCCTAGACAATTTTGAGAGAGATGAAGTTTTCAAAGATGGTTTCTTATGTGTTTTATTAAAATACCTGACTTGATGTAAGAGGTGGCTTCTACTGTGACCCTTCTTTTTATTCTCTTACCCCTTTCTGCTGTGCCCGTTTTAGGTAGCTTGCAGTGCAGTTTAATCTTCTACAAGGTATTGGAGAAGACAGGCATTGACTGCAGAGCCCAGATCTGTAGCATAATGTCTTTTATTGCTTCTAAAGGCTCTCACTATGACCAGCATTCATTACCTCAGTGTTTTCTATAGCAGATAGTGATTGGCTGACTCAGCATGAAAAAATGGTCCTCTGAATATGGGCAGTAACTTAGACCATACTGTCACAGTGACTGTTACTCAAAATCCAATTTAGAGAAGAAAAAGAAGGGCAAAAAAAAAGAAGTTTTTGTCTGCTATGTGCAAGACTTAGAAGAAGACTTGAGAAAGTATTATAGTGTCCAGGTCAGCCAGAAATAAATTCAGCCTCTTATAGGCTGAATCTCCCATGAAAAAATGTCATACCCTCTCAAGATTGTTATAATCCTTTATTTGTTCTATGATGAAGTAGCATTATAGGGGATTTTTTCCTCCAAACCTTTAATAAGCAAACATTATTTTAAATTTTAAATAAATAATTTAAAATTGCTTAAAAAAATTAAAACTAGTTTTTGTTCACATTTCTTGACTTTGTAGCCAGGAAGGCATATTAGGTCTACCTAAGTGTTTATTGTTGGGTTTAGGAGTGAACATAACACTTCTGTTTAGCTGTCAAATACTCATTTGGGATTTACTTTGAGTGAGACGTTATCGTGAGAACTTCACATTTTCATGCCTCTGACACATCCATATCCACCCAGTTCCTTCCACTTAGTCTATGGAAAACACTGATGTACCAGTGACTGAATGTCCCTGGGGATTAAGATATGGAAACAAACACTTCCAGGTTTCTAACAGCTCTTGTGTTTTTTCACTCAGTGCTGTTTATCCGCTTTGGCACTTGGAACAATGCAGTGAAACCAGTCAGTTTTGCTGTCTAAAGTGTAGTGTGGTGATAGTTTTATTCACATATTAGACAATGCTGACAATTCAAACAAATATGTCAAAATGTTAATACTTGTCCAGTTGTGTTTAATGAAGTGGGAGTATGGGGAGAGCCAGTTGTTCTTACATGTGAGCTCTTGGCCTTGCAGTTTCTGTAATTGTCTCAATTTCTCGTGCCTGTTTTAGGAAAAAAAATGTGGGGAAAGTGGGGACAGGAGAGGAGACTTGTATGAAAAAGAGATAAGAGGTGGTCAATGCAAATAGGTAGTTTCTTTCATTCTGTTTTAGAAGTGTAGGAGACTGGTTTTTTTTTTTGTGTTTTTTTTTTTAAAGAACTTATCAACATGAGACAAACCAGAAGTAAATTCCTCAGATTGCCAGGCTGTGCTTTTACTTTGCTCACAGGTATTACTCAGAGGTTAAAAATTGTAAACTTCCTGCTATTTAACTTAGCCAGAGCTGACTTTTGTGAAAGGACCTTTTTGTATGAATAATGTCTGGAGTCTGCAACTTGTGCAGCTGGATCTATTTCTTTGGGGATTAAATGGGAGGAAGGTCCCTCTTAATTTCTTTGGATTTCTTCACTAGCTTGACATGAAAACTTTGGATTATTTAGGGCAGAATTCTTACACAAAAGTAAATATCTGCTAGTTTTTCTGTGTTAAAAAAGAAAAGTGGAATGCTTTGTGCAGTATGTGGTATGGAGGTGAGCAACCCTATAAAGGAGCCATGAGTTTATTTGCAGTGCATCACAGGGTATCCCTGTTCAGTGCTGCTCTGTCCAGCTCGCTTGCTTTTGTGCATTAGTGTGGCCTAGCTAATGCATTTAGACTTCAGATGACAATGGGTATCTGCAACTGTGATTAATCTTTTCTATCTCTGGGAACTTTATAAACTAGTTCCCCATAGTGTGGCTATACATCTTGCAGAGGAACCTAGATGAATGTTTATTGGCAAAGCTGAAAGGTTATAGCCCAGGTAAAAACAAAGAGAGAAGAATCAACAGGATGTCTGTTGTTTGATCTAGACTGTCTTTGGGGCATTGGCTATTTTAAGTATTCTTCCTGTGAACCTTTTTGAACTTCTTCTCTGCTGAAAATTTATGAGAAGAGCATGTAGTTGCAGATGCTGAAAATGCAGGTATTTTCCTTTGCTAATGAAGCATTTGGTACAGAAGCATTGGTAGCTCTTCAATTTACAGGAGACTGCTCTTACATTTTGTGTGGGTAAATAAAACTGTTCTTTCAACTGAGAAGTGTGATAAGTGTGTTGTGGCTTAGCCCACCCCACAGCTCCAGCTTGTGACCAAGCACCACACAGCCACTCACACCCTGCACAGTGGGATGGGGGAGAGAATCAGAATGGTAAAACTGAGAAAACTCATGGCTTGAGATAAAGACTGCTTAGTAGGTACAGTAAAAGCATCACAAGCAAGGCAAAGCAAGGAATTCATTCACTACTTTCCATGGGCAGGCAGATGTTCAGGTATTCTCAGGAAAGCAGGGCTCTATCATACATAACAGTGAGTTGGGAAGAGAAAATGCTATCATTCCAAGTGTCTGCTTCTTCCCCTAGCTTTATATGCTTAGCATGATGCCATATGGTACAGGACATCCCTTGGGTCAGTGGGACCAGCTATCCCAGCTGTGTTCCCTCTTAACTCTTTGTTCACAGGATGGGGTGAGAAGCAGAAAAAGCCTTCATTCTTAAGGCCTTGAGTGTAAGTGCTACTCAGCAGTAATGAAGACATTCCTGTATTGTCAACACTTTTCAGCACTGATCTAAAACACAGTCACATAGTAGTTGTTGTCCAAGCCAAACCCATCACACTTGAGCACAGACAGTGCTCAAGAAGAGGTTTATTTTAGTCTGTACTAATTCTTGATCTGCAATTATGAGCCAATCTTAATGGAAAATACCTGTGCTGCAAAGTGATTTCTGTGTCTGTTAATAGTTGTACCAGGCAGAGCATTGTGACTGTTGGGTGGGGTTTGGTATTTGGAAGGAGGTCTTGCCTTCCTGGATTGTTATCGCTATAAGAGCCTGTTTTTTAAAGCTGCCATTATAATATTAACTTGGGAGTATCATTGCAATTCAGCAGCACTTTATTCTGGTTTGGTCATTTCAATAAACTGCTAATTGGAATTTGCACTATCAAGTTCAGAGCAGCAAAAAGAGATGTTGGAAATCATGAAAGGTACTCTATGCTTTTAACTCTTGAAACGTGCAACAAATTCATGAACAGGACATGAAATTACTTCTTTATGCATTTAAAAGATTGTCACCACTGAATTTCTGTAATTATGCCGTCATTTATGAGGTTATGATAGATGGCAATTATCCTGTTATCCTGGAGGCATCTTCTGCTGCATTTAGATCCCACCATGTAGATTTCCTTGACCTGGGGTGTGGGACTTCATTCCTGTGCATTTGATTCCATATATGTATGTTCTTTACTGCTGCTCTTGGAGCATCTTCTTGGATATGTTGTCTGTCACCTTATGAGTTGCTACCTCTGTCAGCAGAAGCCTGGGAATGACGCTTTGTATCAAGAGAAAAGCTTATTTACAAGTCTATTAGAGACTCTTTGTCTTTTGAAAGATGGACAATGAGGAAGAGCAGTGTTTCAAATCAAACATTTTATCATGGCAAGTTAAAAACTTTATTTTAGAAGACAAAAGTATAATTGATCTTTCAAAATCAAATCCATGGGTAAGTCCAATCTGGAAAATTTTAGTGACTCTTGTGAGTTAGCCTTGGCATCCTGTTTTAAAGAACTCTGGTGTGCATGGTGTATGTTCTGTGAAGAGCTGGGAACACACTTTCGTGTTTCAGGTGTTCCGCTGTTTGCCACAATGCTTGAATATCCTCGATTTCCATGAGGGCTTCAACTGGTGAGCAATTAAAGGAGTTTTGTCTTCACTTCATTTAGAAAATGTCATGATTTAATTTGTACTGTAGGGAATCTGCTCCATTTTAAAAACCTGTGTGGCCAGAGAGGTTTGAGTGTTTCATTTGCTTTTGGAGAGGGGTCAGTTTTATTTTGCTGTTACTGTGAGTTAGGTACAGCTTATTCTAGAGATAAAACAGATTTGTGTGTTATGGCATGATTGTTCTTATGTTCCTTCTTCCTCACAAGTTTTAGTATTGGCATTTTTTAAATTTCTTTTTTTGGAAGCAGAAAGCTACAGAAAATCTCATGTAAATAACTGTTCCATGCTCCCTGTCATAGGTTGAGCTAATTGGAGCCAGTTTGCTAAGGCTAGTGGAAAACAGTCCTTGAAATATGTAACATATATTTAGTTCCTTAAATTCAGCTTCTGTCCATTGATCTATAGTTTTTGAATGCTTGGGTACTTTATTTGAAGACAGAGATTGTTCAGCAAGTAAAATGTTTTTTGCAGAAAAAGCAGCCATCAAGTCCTCTCAAGTCACTATTGATTTAGGAAGCTATAGCAGAATAGGCATAGCACTGTTGGATTAAATCCAGAATAAACCTTTATTAAAAGAGCAGCATTAATATAGATGCACTAAAGCATAACTAGTGCTGTTGTTGCATGCAAGACTACCAGCCGTGCCTGAAGAAGAATTCTCATGTAAATCCAATTTTGATTGTACAAATAGTTAAAGTGTAGTTGATTAAAATTTTGGTGGTTTTTTTTTTTTGTTTTTTTTAAGAACTGCAGGGTGACATTGAAGACATTTTGTTTTAGTCTTGAGCGCCAAGATGGTGCTGTTGTGACTGAGGACAATAACACTCTTGCTTTAAAGTTAAGCAGTGTTGTCTGTGTCTCTGAGAAGGATGGCAGTTGTCAAAGAACGTGTGCTAGAGGGAGATTTGCTCAAAGGACTTGGGGCTGCTTTTACTTCACACTTGCCTTCCATGAAGGGATGCAGACGGGCTTTTTATGTAAATAAACTCCCTGGTTCCATTAAGTTTTAATACTTAAATACACACTTAATTTATTTCATACCTTGTTGTCTGGAAAGTCAAGGCCCTTGGAGTTTGTGCTGTGTCTTCTGTCAGTGGACTACTCAAAGGGAGGTGCACAATGGTTTCTGGTGGTAGAGCACTGCCTGATTTGGTGCCTTTTGGAAGTACTTTAGTGTTAGGCTTAAATATCTGCAGATCTCACTTAGTTAACAATTAATTTTTGATATGCAGGTCAAAAGAAAATAAAAATTTGCTAATTCCCAAAGAGATAAAATTTTATTGTCTCGTAATGGTTCTCTTTGCTTCTGATAGGATGAGTTAAAGTTAGTGAGATCATACCGAGTTGATTAAAGGGCTGGATCTGTCAGCCAACTGAATCTGCTCACATGCAGCTTCAAACCATTCCCTTTTTGTACCAGCAGCACTGGTATAGGCTTGGAAACACTCAGAAAAGCAGCCAGCCTACAGCACTCAGATCTTTGGTAGAAACATCCACTTAAATGGTTGAGGTGTTGCAGTTGAGGAAGTGCTTTCCACACTCTTTGTAAAGGGATTTACTTTATCCTTCTACCTAGATATTGTGAAAAACTAATTCAGTTCTCGTCCTCCTTCCCCAGTTAACAGAAATAATGAAATGCAGGAAAAATGTAATAGTATTCTTATAGAATATGCATATCCTTTGGAATTTTCAAACAAATTGTAGGTATTTGCTTTTGCCATGGATCCCAATCATTCATTTTCTTTGAATATTTAAGTACAAATATAGCTATTTTGTATTTATATGTTCTCCACCTCCAGATACCTGCTTGAGCAAGACTTTCCAGGCATGAGGATTGGTCCAGAGCCTACCACAGATTCCTTTATTGCTGTAATGTATGGAGAAACAGAAGGAAATGTTCCTGGAAATGCCCTAGTTGTTGATCCTAAGAAGCCATTCCGGAAACTCGGCCGTTTTGGAAATGCGTTCCTGAACAGGTGAGATCATCTTGCTTTCTGTCTTCTGATGATTACATTTAAATTTTGCCATGTTCTGTTTTGAACAGCATGGAATAAATACTGAAATACAAGCAGGAGTGGTGGCATTTCAGGTGAATTAAATGGAAAAAGGCAGCACTAGGTAGGGTGGCATTACAATAGAGATATTCAGTTATCTGAATAGAAAATTGTTGTTAAAGCCAGTTCACAGAAAACTGTAGAAATTATCCACTGGGTGACTTGTTTGTGAGGCATGACACTAGGTGGAACTCGGGATAAGTTTATGGAAAAATTCTACTCAATAAAACTAATAGGTTAGTACTATTTTTTAAAACTACCATTAAAAAAATATTTTCCCTTTGGTGCTGTCTTGTCCCTTTCCACTGATATCACTGGATATAGCAATTTAAAATTGTGAATTGCTGGGATATGTAAAAAGACATACAAAAAGGAAAAGATTACCATGTACTCCCTGGATAAAATAAAAACTCGAGCTGTTAAGTGTTTAATATTAACTACCTGGGTGTTCAGGTATTTCCATAGACCAGGGATATAGTGTTAGCTTCTGCTGTGTATTTGTAAAAAGGGGAGAGTTGTTCTGGGGCTGAGAACATTTTGATAGTAAACTTAAGTAGCATGCTGAGTATTTCCAGTTGAAAGTTAGTTACTAATAACTCCGTTCTTATTGTCTGAGCAATCACCTTGTTTTCTTCCTGTATTTGATGGTAGCTTGACATAGAGACCTCACTTTGCAGGCCAATTAATCTAAATTGGTTCTTTTTAACAATAAACTTTCCTGTTTGGCTGATAAATATTGGCATGCGTGTTAAAAGTTCATCATGTACAATTTTATCTATTGCTGTGCTTATTCAAAGAAGAAAGTTTGTAGCTGCTTACAGTTGGCTTGGTTATCACTTTGCAGAGATAAGAATATGTGCTGTGGGAAACCGTAGTCAAGTCCCATTTTGAATAACAATTTTGAGATGATTGGCTAAATTCTGTCTTCCAGATCACTATTCTGTTTCTCTCTTTCCTCATTGTGCTCTCTCTGCAAAAAATGAATATGCTTATAATAAAAATTATATAACTAGTATTTTGCATAACATTTAAATATTTACACAGAACATTTAATAATGGTATGTGTTTTTTCAGATGAGTGGCAATGTAATTTTTTGCCTAAATCATTTAACTAGTTATGTCAGGCTCTGACTGTTGTGCAAGCAAAATTATTGGCTAGTTAAAAAGATGTACTTTAAAAGTAACTGAATTATTCCAGTTATTTTGGTGAATGTGATATTGTAGTATTGAAGTGCTGTGAGCACTCATCTTCCCCAACAGTTACACTTACTCATTAGTAATTCAGCAGAGATCTAGGCGCTTATCTTTCCCTAGCATTTTTCAAAACTCACCAATTCCTTTCTCTTTATGACTTCACTTAGATGAAATTGTCTTAGGCCTCAGTGTCTTTGAATCCCTACCAGGTTACCTGTAATCGTAGCACATATTTTACTTTGCCTTCTCTCATTTGCCATGCTGACAGTTCTTTTTATCTGATATTACATTTTTCACAGCTGCCTTAATAGACTTCTCTCTACTTCCCCCCACCCTGTCCCATCCCCCCCAATTTTATTTTTTAAATGCTTTCCCAACCCTAGTGTTTTGTTTTATGGAGGAACTTAAGGCTATGAACACTTGACTATGAAGTTGAGTATCCTTTTCATTCAAGTCTAACAATCCAAATAACAGGAAACAGGGACTGAGGTAATGGAAAAAATGAAGCAAACAAGAACACAGTATCACAATCAAGGCTTGTACTTGGTAATCAGCTGCATTCATTTATTGATGTTACCTTGCTTTTGTCTTTTTCCATGACCTCTTCTAATTGTCCCCTGAAACTCACTACTTGTAGGAGATGTTCTTCTATTAATCTCTTACTTATTCCTGTATACTTTTAAGAAAAGCTGGGTCGGAAACCAAAGAGGGACAGGACCAAGTGTACCCTTAGAAGCTGGTGAGGGAAAAATACTGCATTATACCAGAAAAGCATGTAAATAAATTAGTGCTGCTGAGAAGAAATGCATGGTCCGGGTCTATTTTGATGTGTCATAAGAAATTACAATCATCTCATTCATACAGTTGTTTTTGTAACGCTTCTTTTTTAAATCTCTCATTCAGGTGGATAGTATGTAGTTCTGTTTTTTATGATGTAGCACTTAAATGACCTATGTGAAGAAATAAGTCTCAGTGTTGAAAAGAGATACTCAAGTACCACTATCATTACAGTTTTAAGTCGTCTAAAATGCTAGTTTGAGGCAAGACTTTTAACCCATCTTTTATCTTTATCTTATGGACATACTGTAAAAGCTAACAAGCAGTTCCTTCTGAGTTCATGCTTCTATTTCACATGTGTTTACCCATGTATTTACTTTTCTCCTCCCATTGCTGCGAAGATGGCAGTGTCTGCATTTCTGAGGCCTGTAATTCTCTATTTTATTGCATGGTCTTTTACAGCTGTCCCAGTTTGGGTGGTGCCTGAGTCAAGACACTGCTGTATTGTTCAGCTGGCATAACAGTGCCTTTCTTCCCATAAGATAGGTCTAGAAACATCTTGATGATACCAAGCACTGGCGTTTCTGAGGTTGGATGAAATATACTTGCAAATTCAGTCTTCAAATATATATGAAAGCTACTTCATGCTGTACATACTAGTGATATATGTATTTTTGTAATGGTTCACATGATTAAATATGTTTTCTTTGTCACTTATGCACATCCATTATGCTTCCACATAATGTGTTTGCTTTGACATAGCACTGCCTTTAGATTTTGGCAAGTTCAAATGTAATTTTCCCAAATAGTACCTCTCTGCACTTTCAAAAATATTTATTAAGCTAGTAGAAAACTTTCTAATGCAAGAGTTTGCTTCAGGTATGAGGTATTTTTTATACCTGGTGTCCCACTAAAACAAACAATTCATTTTGCATTATGTTTACATACCCTCAGGTTTTATCAGGCTTAGATGGCTGCTGTTTCCTCATGCCCTTTTGGGTTTCAGGGGGAGGTACAGGTGATGCTGTCATTTCTGTTTTATCCAAGAAGCACACTGTGTGTTTTTGTTAAAGGTTCATTGCTAGAAGGTCTCTTGCAGAGCAAGGTGAAGTGAGGTGTTAGGACTTCTTTTCTTTCCAATTTCCTTTGAAGAATTTGTATTGTATAAAATACCATCTAGACTTTGCTATAATTTACATTTTGTATCTGATATTGACTGGTTGAACTCTTCCTAACTCAGATTAGCTAAGGCCTTAAAGGTCTTGTTTGACCTCAGCACAGCTACAATTTCCTGTCTGTGGTGCCCTGTTTTTTGAGGCAGCGTGCTTTGTGAAGCCATAGGTGGATGCAGGGCAGCCCCATCTTGGAGCCTGAGGCTGCAGCTTAACCCTGTGTGTGGCAGCCTCATGGGAGGAGGGTGGGTTACTCTGTGTGCTTGTTAGCATCTTCAGCTGCTCCCTGATAAGAAGATTAAACTCTTATGCAAATCTCTTTAAGGCAGGTTATGATGAAGGGCAGTGAAGTTCTTCAGTCATTAACTATCACAGAATCATCACTGTAGCTTGCAAGTAATGCACCAAGTGTTCTGCACAGCTCTCAGAGTCCTTGTCAATTATTTATTCTTCTGTAATATCACCATTGAATTTGCCTCCTGTTGCAGAGGCAGGAGGTTATTGTTTAGAGTATACTGTGTGTAATTTGAACTCCTGCTTCTGACAGTGTGATAGTTTTGGCTGGGAGTTTGTGGGAGAAATACTGGTGTTTTTCACTGGAGCCCCAGCTGGGGAGAGCAGTGGGTTAAGGAGTAGGGATCACTCGAACATTTGCTAAATCAGGCAAGGGGGAGATGTGGCAGGGACTGGACCATAAACATATTGTCAGTATGGCTTCCTGCTTGCTCCCCTTTTCAATCTTTGAGTCTGGGCATAAGCTGGAGAACATGGAAGAATTTTCTCTTGTGTGTACTAATTTGGTCCTAGCAAAATGGGTTTGATGGAGTCTTTCTGATGTTGCATTTACAGCCCAGGTTGTTAGCTGTTGCAAAATTTGAAGTCTTACCAGCACTTAGACATATAGTTTAACAAGGTTTCCCTGTCAGGTTTCTTTGGAGAAGCTCTCTTCATATTTTTTCTTAAACATGTATGACTGTGAAACATAGAGGTTTGCCAGGATTCAGAAACTGTTTTCAGTCTCGCTTGAGTCTTTCTAAACTCAGATATATCATGGAGAGCTCTCAAGAAACAATCTGTATGTGAGCTACAGCTATTGTTAATGTTTTTTTCCCCTCCTTTCCTGCAGGTTCATGTGTTCTCAACTACCCAATGAGGTCCTGAAGAGCATCAGTATCATTGACAGCCCTGGCATTCTCTCTGGAGAGAAGCAGCGCATCAGCAGAGGTGAGTCGCAGAGCTTTTTAGGCACCAAGCTCACTAATTTTTTTCTGCTCTACTGGACAAATCAGCATCCTAATCTCTGGGGAGCCTGTTTTAGTGGTACTGTATGGTGGTCTGTCCCATACTTTTGTACTGCAAGCCCTGTACAACCCATATTTTAAGGCTGGATGTTGGCTTTGGAATTTTTTTCTCTTGAAAGCTGGTGGGGGTTGGTATTTCTGTTATGCTGCTGCTATAGCTGCAAATGGCTACAGTTGCATGGTCTGTTAACTAATTAGTGCTTTGTCACTTCCAAGAAAAAGCCTTATTTTGATCATTTAAATTGCTTTCCATGAAGTAATAATGACTCTTATATATACACACTATTGAAGTTCATGACTGAAGAAATGTTTACAGAAATAGCTGTAGGTTGGTCATGTCTGAAAAATTCAGGGGTGGGGCTATAAATAAGGTGGATTTTTATGGGCACAGCTGCTAGAGGTGCTTCTTAAGGTTGCTCAGTCATGCCATAATATAATACAGTCAAAAGAGGAAGTCAAATGGTAGAAGGAGAAAGAGCAAATGAGAATATTTTTAGTAATATGAAAATTCTGCAGAGAACTGGACACTGTTTACCAATCTGTTTTAAACATTAGCCTGTCTTGAGAAAGTATTTAAACAGAACTGCATAATGTAAACAACTTTCTTCCTTGCATTCTTCAGCTGCCTGTCCCTTTTCTGTGGAATTGTAAATGGTAGTGATGCAGGGTGTGGCTTACGCTGCCCTCTGTTTTCAGGCCTTTGCTAAGAGATGGAAACTTGTGTTTCATGTCTCTGTCAGGGGAAATAAACAAATATTTAACGTATTGCACCTGGGGTTTTTCGAGGAAATCCTGGAGCAACCACAATATATGGAGCTGTGCAACAATAGTCTTGTTGTTATAATAAACTGACAGAATAAGGGACTAACTTCTTAGGACTATAAACTAAATTATGCTTACCTAATAAACCAATCTACCAGATACTTCTGGATTTTTTTGTTCAGTGATGTTTTGTCCTCTTTATTACTCATAGTCATGTAAAGCATTCATCATGGGGAGAGTGCTGGACTTTCGTTTATGTGATATGTTAGTGAGATAATGATGAAGAGCATGAGAGCTCTACATCTCTGCAAGCAAAGACTTGAATGTTGTGAAACCAGAAATAAAAAAATACTGCATGTTGGCACTCTTACTTTAGTTATACACACAATTTTTTTTTTCTGTCTAATGCTTTTTAGTCCTGAAAAAAAACTTCTTATAAAATGTCCACAAAATATTTAGATCCCAGTTTAGACAGTCTGATAAAATCAGCAGTGGTCTGCTTTTCCATTGCAGATTCCAGCTCCCTTTTTCCTTCTCAAGTTAAGACTAGTATCTTAAATGCTCAAGTTAAACTGCATCTTACCCCTTCTTTGCTTGTTAAATCAGTAGAAAATTTTGTTTGGCATCATTGAAGTATCTGTTGCCACTTTTGTAGTAGTATGGAAGGGAACATGAAATAAGCAGAAAACTAGAGTGTTATATTAATATATGCCACTGGAAAAGTGAGCAACTGTGTAACCAAATTTAAGACCATTAGGTAATGCTTGGAAGTCCCAGACTTCCAAGTGCAGGACAGAGTTGTGTTTCACTGGTAGTCCTGTGTTGCCTGAAGGACCATGATTCTTCACTACCATTTGGAATTGCTCCTGTGATTTAACAAAACATGGCTCTTGTTCCCTTATTGTTCAGAAACTCCTTGTCTTGATGGTGTCTTATCAATTGTTACAGCCTAGCTGGCCTGCCCTTTGATATGAAAGACTTCCACCTAATTTGATGTAGTTCAGTAATTACCTCAAACTCTTAACCTGCTTCACAGGCTTTAACTTGATTAGATTGCATTCCATTAATTTTTTTTACATGTGATAAAGATTGTCCTGAATGCGTCCCTTGTCATAGTTCTTTTATCAAAGTGTGGTTCTCCTCTATGCTGTTAGATTTAATCATGTTTAAAGTGTGGTTGTACCAAATACGAGGTTTTGGGAGTTGGTTTTAGAGCACTGTTCTCTCAGTCTCCCAGGCTTTGAGGGCAGGTTAAATAAAGGTTTCATACACTTAGGCATCACCATAAAATAAGTTATCTAAAAGTGCCTCTGCATTTATTGCATGCGCATATTCCACACTATCATGATCAGAAATTATTACACTCAACCTTGGCTGAAGTACTGCACAGTCAAATCTGTTTCCTGTAAATGGCTTTTGGGCTGCTTATGCAGTTTGCATATAGTCAAGCACAAACTTGACTTGTCCTGTGATGCTGCACATAGCAAAGTTTGTCTGACCTGCTTCCTGAAGGAGTTGGTCGGACTTGAATATATTTATAAGTCTACTTTAGAACATTTTGAAGTTTGAGTTGCTTTGTTGACTTTCTAAATTATTGTGTGTAAATGTAAGCAGGGTTGTACAAGGTGTTTTCTGCTATCCCTGAATGTGTCTCTGTCAGAGAGGGTTCTGCTTTCTAGAAGTTTAGCTCGTGTCTAAGGTTGGTAAGCTGCAGCTTTTGTTATTTAAAATATTTGATGGAAGAATAACATTACAGGGCCACAGTGTCTCTTTGCTGTTGGTGTTTTTTTCCCATCTCACTAGCTACTGCCTAACTATTTACCTATGAATGAATGTAACATCTGTATAATATTAAAATTTCACAGATATTACTAGGAATAAGTTGAAGTCTTCTGAGACTAAGAGAGGACTCAAATATTAGCTTTCATTTTAACATGCAGGAAAACAGTAAAGGGACTATGTAAAATTAGAGGACATGTACTATTTCCCAGTATGCTCCATTTTTAAGTCTGGAAAGCATCCAGGCCACAGATAAAGGAGCTGATTTCTTGAAGGGTCAACAGAGGGCAACTTTCAAAGATGTCTCAAGACACACCTTTCCCACTCCTGTTGTCAGCAGGAGGATGTGCCAGAAGCTTCCTGCCTGTCAGTTCAGGGGTAGTGTAAGTGGCTGGAGGAGAATGTGCAGATGCCTGCCAGCATTGTCCTCTGGGCAGACAATGCCCGTCCCTGTGCTGCTCCCGCGGCGTTGCTGCTGATGTTCACGCCCTTGCAGACAGAAATGTTTGTGTGGGCTGCAAGATTTGGAAGGAAAAATGAGTGTCTGGCAGGATGTAGGGAGGAACCCCTTTTAGGAAGGGAGGGGGTGCTTCGTTCATGACTGAGTGGTGTGAAGGCAAGTGTTTCAAAGAGTATGGGGAAAGAGTTCAGGGGAAAACATACACTGGTTTTTTAAAAAAGCAAGAAGCTCCCAGTACATACTTAGCTGTTCCTTACTCATACTAGATGAGTCACGTCCATGCCAAACCCAAACCCGCATCACCAGTGGTGACTCTGAGGATTAGATGTGTCACTTCTGAATAAGGAGTTCCTGAATACTGTTTATTGTGTGGATTATGTACCAGCTGAACCTTTAAAAGCATTTAGGCAGGTACTATGAATAGACTTTCCTTCAGAACATGATAAAGGTTGTTTCAGGTTATCAGTAAGGTCACTGCTCACGTTCTGTAACCTGTCATGTCCTCAAAGCCATCAGCAATGTAGTCATGTTACTTGTAAATTGTACTTTTTAGGCTGCTGTGGTAAAAATAACAACCAAGTGTTCCAAGGTAAGGAGAGATGAGTTTGAAAATGGCTTTAAATGCTGCGTTTGAACCATTTTCCATTGTTAATTCAGATAAGCAGTGCTACCAAAGTGACCAGTATTGGCAGTGATGAAGAAATATTGTGATCAGAGCCTTACAGTCTTGTTTAGCTTGGATGCTGTGCTGGAACCAGACTCCTGGAAAGAGGCAAATGTGGGTATTAGACAGAAAAAAGGGCAGTGATGAAAGCAAAAGGTGGTAATAGTGAGACTGGTTCAAGGAAATGCAGGATACAGTTGTCCTGACCTCACTGTCCACAGATACTGTCCTCTTGAGTAATAAATCTCATTTTTGCCCCTGGGTAGAGGCTGTTATCCTCTTGTTCTCTCTCCCCAGCCTTATGTTCTTCAAGACTCGCTTTTCTGAATGGTAAGACTCTAACTGTGTTCTTCCTCCAGGCTATGACTTCTGCCAAGTCCTCCAGTGGTTTGCTGAGAGGGTTGATCGAATCATCCTTCTTTTTGATGCCCATAAGCTGGATATATCTGATGAGTTTTCAGAGGCCATTAAGTCATTCCGGGGCCAGGATGACAAGATCCGAGTGGTGCTTAATAAGGCTGACCAAGTGGACACCCAGCAGCTGATGAGGGTCTATGGTGCACTCATGTGGTCCCTGGGAAAGGTGATTGACACGCCAGAGGTCCTGCGGGTCTACATTGGCTCCTTCTGGGCCCATCCTCTCCGAAACACGGACAATCGAAAACTCTTTGAAGCCGAGGCACAGGATCTTTTCAAGGATATCCAGAGTCTCCCGCAGAAGGCTGCTGTGAGGAAACTCAATGATCTCATTAAAAGGGCAAGACTTGCAAAGGTAAGAAAAGAAAAGAGAAGAAAACAAAATTGAATGAGCAGTCTCGGCTGCTGTCAGTGTGTCCTTTCTCAACCTTGCCAGTTTTTCTCTTGCTATAAAATGTGTCTTTTTAGCGCAGTTTTTAATCTTGGATTGAATTGTCACTTTTTCAAGGAAAAGATAGTTACTTGAGGAGAAAGCTATTGGTAGAAGACGGGAACTCTAATTTCCTGTGCAGTTATCAAACCAAATGCATTTTCCTTCAAACTCATTTTAATGTGAACTACTAATCAAAAATGAAGAGGCCTAGCAAGCCCATCAGTATATGAATAGTTGTTTGGGGATGTGTACCACTTCCTGTGTTGGCTAATTTAAATTTCTGAATATGAAGATAGACTTTCAGGAGTTTTTGGTGGGGTTATTTTGGGGGGTTGGAAGAGGGAATGAGGGGGGCTTTTGGTTTGGGGGGGTTTTGTGGCCTGAGCTTTAGACACCCTGTAGAAGTTGCTTCTTTGAAAATTCCATTTAAAATTGCAATGATGTTGTGTTTAAAGTTTCTCTGATCCCAGAGCAACTTTTACAAACTGCCAACATTTACAAAACAGATCCAGTCTGTTTTGTTAATGTTGGCAGCATTTTGTTTTCATTTGTTACAATCATTTTGGCATTGAAGGAGTGTCAGTTGGGTAATTTTTAGATATCTCTATGAGATGTAAAATAAAAATTGATAAAGGTAAACACAGTACATAGTGGTCTTAGGGATATGTTAGACAGTCCTGGAAGGGGAATAAACTGTATATCTGCAGGAAAGCAGCAGTGTAATCCAGTGTCATTTTTCTGCCTTCCAAGCTGCTCTCGAAGTATTGACAGTCAAAATTTGCTTTTTACAGCATTGAGTGTGGGTTTTCTTTTACCCTATTTCTGTGCTACTCTCTTCTTTATGTTTTCTAATACGTTTACAGTAAATAGAAACAAAAGCGAACTCTTAACATGCTGTCAGATTTGGGCATTAGGCTTTTTTCTTTTTCTTTTTTTTTTCCCTAAGTCCTGTGACTCACTATCCCGTTTTGAAGATGAGGACTGTTCTTATCTACACAAAACACATGTGCATACTGGCAGACCTTAAACCACTTAAAATACGCATGTGAAAATGTTAGTACTTATGAATTATAAACATACTTTTCTGAGTTTAATAGAAATGTTATTTTAGACACAAGATACATAAAATTACTCACAATTATTTAGGAATGCTCTTAAAAATACCCTTACTGAATCAGTTTTGTAATTCTGGAGAAATACTTGTATCTGTACTCTTAGAAAATGTAATGGGTTTATGGGTTTATGCTTCTTTATACTGGAGTTTTTTCCTCCTCTACAAAAATGTAAATTTATTTACCATTAAAATGCATATACTCTTTTTAGATAGAAGGAAGTGTTGTTATGTGAAATTCACGAACTTAAGATATGCACATAAAAATTGGCTACATAATTTTTCTTTTAAAAGCAAATAATTTTTTTTCTTTTTCTTCCTTGACAAGTAAGGAAATGAATGGGTAGTTGCCCTGTGCAGATTGTGTAAGGTCTGTGTAGAATGCTATAATACACATTCTGTCATGGTTTGGTAGGTATTAAATATTATATTTACACAACACCAAGGCAATCACTTGTTTTACTGATGCTTTTTAGTGGCAGTTTGTCTTCCCCCAGTCTTCAAAATTTCATCTGTTTATTGCTCAACAGTTTGTTAGACATACCTAATTTTTAACTCTTTTTTGTGTGTGTGTGTGTGAAAATTATAACTAATTTCTGATTTGTGGACAGCTAGGTTCTTTTTAAATGAACTCAGACCTGAGTTCTGTAAAGACATCCTGTTGTGGAGGTCATTTGTCTGCCGTGGTCATGGCCAGCTCAGAGCTTAGGGCAGCATTACTTCTAAAAGAAGGCTCTGCCCTGGTGCCTTCCCTCTTGTGTGCAAAGTGAGTATCAATGTCCTGGATAGGTGAGCTCACCTCAGTTGGGAAGTGCAGGCGCTGTTTCTGTTCCGGATCTGATCACTTGTTCTGTGGCCAAGCAGATCCTTTTGGTGGGGAAAGGTAGTGGGGAGAGTGGCAAGGGGGAAGAGATTAATAGTTCAGAATAAAGGCATAAAGAAGGTGGGCAGGATGGATATTTTGACAGCAATGCAAGAATCAATGTGTTTAAAGACACCCTAAATTAATGTCTTTCCTTATAAGCTGGAAAGGTTCTACTTCTCTCCCTAGGGCTTCACAAGGCAGCCATGGCATGCTGCTCCTCTTGGCACTGGCTGCTCTGTCACCTGCATAGGTTGCTGCATAAATATAGGTAATAGGTACTCACTTTTCTGTGAGAAAATAGGTAGGAAAGCAGTGTCACTTCAAATAGATAGCCCTACCACTTAGCATACTTGAATTACTGGAGGAATTATCACATTGATAATTGATGCCCACAATGGCTGTTGTGGCAATTGAGCTACAAATCATACAGATGGACCAGTATGGCTGGAGCTCTGTGTATAGTGTCAGGACGTGGGGTTTGGGGTCTTGCCTTTTCTCTTGCTGTTGGTACTCATAGAATGCTGTACTAGGCTTCTCCTTAAAAGAGCAAGTGTGTATCTGTATTTCTTTGAAATTTGTTTACTTTCTCTCTGCCCCTCAAAGGAATGCTGAAAGCAGCAAAAGCTAATAATAACTAACAGGTAGCTAACTGTTCATGTAAACACAAAGTTCCAGAAACAGTAGTTGATAATATCTTTCCTTAGGGAAACGTATTTCTGTTTATTTTTATGACCAAGGTGAGGAACGCTACTAAGTGTCAGTAAACAGTAGTTTTGATTTAAGTTTTGCTTCTTTTTAGGTTCATGCTTATATCATCAGCTATCTGAAAAAAGAGATGCCCTCTGTCTTTGGGAAAGAGAATAAGAAGAAAGAACTGATCAACAAGTTGCCTGAGATCTACATCCAGCTGCAAAGGGAATACCATATTTCAGCAGGGGACTTCCCTGAAGTCAAGAAAATGCAGGTAAGATGGTAGATCACCATTCCAGTGAAATATCTCTTAACTTTGTAGCAGAATTTCCAAATTGAAAAAGTTAGAACAGAGTATGTCAGCATTTGGCAGTAGAGCAGTTGAAATAAGTCATTTGACTGATATTATATTAGATTGACTTGGAAGTGGTACAGACCAAAAAATAATGGTAACTTGTTTAGTGTGCATTCACTGATACAGAACTATATAAAGACTAAGAAAATAAAGAATAAAGAATATGACTGACCTTCTGTCCTTTTAGTCAGTACTTGATCTCTACTGCAGGAAGTACTAAAGGCTTTGTCTATAAAATGGCAGTGGACACTCTCAGGTTAAGGGGCTTCTTTTGAATCCTAAATATGGTTATATTTATCATTTTTGTGATGGTATCAAATATATGTGTAAGTGAAGATATCTTTAGTCATAAGTTCATTTTTACTCTACCTGTTCTTACTGGTACTGTTTTCCCAGTGAGTAATAAAGGCAGTGTGTTACTTGAAAAGTCCAGCTTAAAACCTCTTGCTTCTGAAAATAGTCTTTGGCTCCTTTCCTGTCCTGTTAAGATTGTATTCTGTGAAGGAGAGAGAGAGAAGTTCTTGGTTTATGCTCACAGTTTATTTTTAAATACCTCTTGTCTCTTCCTCTTTTGGGCTTTCTGCATTATTTCAACCAATTTTCTGTCACTTTCTTGCCTATTTATTTCTGTTCTCTGATTTGAGATGAGTTAGAAAATATCCCAGGGAAAAACAGCTAATGTTGTGTTAGTAGTGATTTCAAGCATCAATTGGCAATTTTTGTATCTCGGATCATAGGCTTCTTAAATGACCTTTGAATTAGCGGATAATTCAGCTTGAAAGCTGAAGAACAAGAGATCAAGAGCCTGCAGTTTGTTCTGACCGTGGGCTAGTAATGAGTATGATGGAGGATGTTTTCCAGATGTATCATTCTGACAGTACGTGTGGTGCACTTGCACAGCCATCATCAGGAGTGATGGTTGGCTGATTGTCTATAGGAAGGCACAAGTTTCTTTCATAAACTAAAGTATTTCACCTGGGAGTCAGCTATCGGCATGAGATAGCAAATCACAGATGAAACACAAGATGTATTTTAGCTAAGTTTTCACAGGCAGGATTGTTGGAAGGGTTTCATGAGTTAAGGCTTTGAAAGGGGATTTTGTGGCAAAAGTTGACTCTTCCCTTGCTGCTTTTGCTTGTGATGCAGAGTAAGAGAATGAGAGATCTGAATATTGAAACAAAAAATTTGAATGAAACTCTTTCAAACTTACAGTACATGTCAGTTAGGCCTCAGCAGCAGATGGCAGCAAATATGTACAGGAGATCAGTCACTTCTGTAATGAGGAACATAATTTTGTGAAAACAAAATTGTGCCAAAACCGATAGCAAGTTGATCTTTGCTGCTTGATATTTGTTGTGCTACATACATATATTCTGATCAGGTACTGTAAATCAGGTGACTGTGTATAAATGTCACCTGAACAGAGTTTTTGGTTGGCTGTTTTTACCCCGTGTTTCAGGTTTCTTGGGTTTATGTCATGATCATTTTGATATGTATAGGAGCAGCTCCTTGAGGTGATAGATGGGATTTGTTAAAGCAGTTTAACATCATTTTACAGAAGGTGGGAGGTGTTGGTGATGGTGATATTTGAGTTTTTTAACCTTTTCCACTGTAACTTTCTCTTCCCGGCAAGCATTTTGCATGTAGAAAAAATTTAATAATTGCCTAAAGCATTTTTAATTTTCTGATGCTGTGGTGTAAAACATGCTTGGGCTTGTGTAGGATGAAAACTCCACAAATTCTGCAGGGAGCATCTGACTTCATGAGTTCTGGCAGCACTGCTATAAAACACTGCTGCTGTTATCTCAATTCAGCTTTTTTTTATTGCTAAAAGGACACCTTTTCCTGACCTAACCACAGCCAAGAAATCTAATCTATAAAATCAGATCAGTCCTGCAAAATATTTGGTTTTATTTTTAACTCTAAACACTTGCCTAAATGCTAGCAGGACTGAAGACTTACTTGCATGCTTTCTTTGATGCCCGGAAAAAAATCATCAAATGGAAAGTTGCTGGGTAACATTCATCAACTGCTGTGGTTTTATCCACTGCACTTTGAAATTTGTATTGTAAATGTAATTTAATAAATAAACTCATACACTGTTGCAAAATTGTCTTAGTGTATTTGATCAGATATATTGGCTGTATAGTACATGTGTTTTGTTTCTCTATCAAGAGGAGTTTCAGTTATAGAAACAGCTTCAAAAGATACTTATTTTTATTTTAAGCCCATTCTTTAAACTTTTCAATGTATCGGAATTGTTTTTAACTACTTTCTCTGTGTCATTCACAGGAGCAGTTGGAGAATTGTGATTTCACTAAATTTCATTCTTTGAAACCAAAGCTAATTGAAACTGTGGATAACATGCTGGCCAACAAAATTGCCTCCCTGATGAACCTTATCAGACAGGAAGAGAGCAACATGCCCACAGAGATGGTACATGGTGGAGCATTTGATGGCACCATGGCAGGACCTTTTGGCCATGGATACGGGGAAGGTGCTAAGGAAGGAGCTGATGAAGAGGAGTGGGTTGTTGCCAAAGATAAACCTGCTTATGATGAGATTTTCTACACTCTGTCACCAATCAATGGCAAAATATCTGGGATTAGTGCAAAGAAGGAGATGGTGACTTCTAAACTACCCAATAGCGTCTTGGGGAAGATCTGGAAACTTGCAGACTGTGATGGCGATGGGATGTTGGATGATGAAGAGTTTGCATTAGCAAAACATCTCATCAAGATTAAACTGGATGGATATGAACTGCCTGGCACGCTACCTTCCCACCTGGTGCCACCATCTCACAGGAAACTTTTCCAGACAGCAGAATGAACAATACAAGGAGAAGAGTGAAGATTTTGAAATTCCCACAGAAAATGTGTTGAAAATACCAAAATTTGAAGTTAAGCTTAAATACTTAAACCTCACAGCACATTTCACGCAAGCTACTGAAGTTATAAGCATGGCAGCAGGGAAACATTTGTGTCACTGTCCCTGCTGACCTTCACTCAGACATGCTTATCACAAGTGCCTTATTATAGCTCTGTCATAAGGTGAAAATATTCTTGTAGTCCTGTGTCCGTGTCTTGCTGCCTTTACAACCATAAAGCAGAAAAGACCATGCATAAAAATTGCTGACCTTCGTCAAACCTAAATACTTACCAACCCTGTCTCAAAACTATTCTAAATAGCATGCTGAAGCTCAAAATGTTAAATTCACCTGCATATGCAAGGAATATTTAGATGCTAAAAACATATTTAAGACGTTGAGTGAATATAAGCATTTCTATAGTCTAAGAACAGGCTGATATAAAAGGAAATCCTTTATTTTTATTGTTTAGTTGGAGTTAGAAAAAGATAGAAGAATGATGAGGAGAGTCTTGTAAGTGCTCAGTATATGAGCAAACTTGTTTTAAAACTTCAGATTCTATATATTCAGTATTATCATTAGAAGAACTGAGATCTCCTTTGTTCCTTGGATTTATAGTTTTCTTTGCAGTTGAAGCTTAGCTTCTCTGCAGACAATGAATTTCTGAATGGTTCAAAGTGACAGCAGAATGGTTTCTTAAGCTGAAAAAACCATGTTTGCATTGAAATTAAGCCTCACTTTCTGTTCAGAAAAGGTGTATTGCTCAAATTCAGCCTCCTCAAAGCACATCAGATTGTCTCGGGATATTTTCATTGGTATTTAATTTATATTTACAGCTAATTATACAGTTATGTCTGTGTATTTTTTAATATATAATATATTTAAGAGAAGTTTTTAACTCTTTTGCCAACAGGTAGCTGACAACCACAAAAGAGAGATTCAATTCTCAGATTTGAAGGATGGGGAGGCTAACAGGAACTGTTATATTGACTGTAATAAATTATAGACTCATCCCTCCAAATATTACTCCTTTATTGAAAATAATCCATGAAAGGAATGGATGCTTAATAAACATTTATTTTCCAACAACACACAATCAAAGTTGAACATAATGTCTCCTTACAACTGATTTTTATCAGTACCTTAAAAGAAGGCAAGTCTTTGGCCCTGGGAGCTTGAGTCTTTCAAGGAGGGCCAGTTCTTTCATAAAATCAAATTTGGCAGTCAGTTCTGGTCTATGTGTATGAACAGGAATTGACTTGTATTCCATTTGTAATAAGAAAGACCCTACACATGCAAGGTATTGTAGTTTTGAGCACTTTCTTGTTAAGTCTCAGTAAGTGGCAGCACTAATGCCCTCTGGGACAGAGCAAGCCAACAAGTGCTTTAAAGTCCTTGCAGTAGGGGTGGGGAGAGGAATACTTTGGATATTGTCTCCCAGTTAAGATTTTAGTCACACTTCCATGTTCAGTTTTGTGGGTGATCTAAGAAAAGCCTCAGCTTCTTTCTTCAAGTCATGTATTTGTCAGTTGTCAGGTTTCACATCTGTCTGGACCTCTCATCTTTCTGCATCCGTTCTATTCTGAGGTGCAATTTCCATGAACTTTGTCAGGGCTCTTCCATGGGAAAACAATGATGCTATTTTAAGTAATGGCAGAACACCACCTTTACCTTGCCAGGTTTCTGGGCCTGTAGCAAGGATGTCCTGGCGTAATTGAATTATTCTGAGGACTTGATTTTTTTTTTTTTTTTTTTTTTTTTTATTTTTTTGTTTTTTTTTTTTTTTTTTTTTTTTTTTTTTTTTTTTTTTTTTTTTTTTTATTTTTTCGTAAATTAAAAAATTTTTTTTTTTTTTTTTTTTTTTGTATGTTGCACAACAGAAAGAGCAGCTGCACATGCAGACCCATCTGTTGACTTGAGTAACAAGAAGATTGTGTGATAACTTGAGGCAAAAAACCCAACAGCTTTCATGAGATCGTTTATGTGTCACTTTTTCTGCCCAGGTGTAAAATGGCGAACAGAAAGCCACATCCTGTGCACGTCCTGAGAAGCTGGGGAGGTGTTGTGGTAAGAGACACTGATGGGTTATCAGAAAGGTTTTCTGAGTAAATGTCAAACCGCATCCTGTTTTGGTAAAATTTAACTGCTGTTCCCTTAAAGAGATATTTTCCAGCACATTTTGGCACATCATCTCCTCTCATTCTGAGGTACCATTTTCTGCTGAGGCCTTCAGAGACAGTTTCCTCTCTTTTTGACTCTATGTTAGATAGACACTCCTTTAGGACATCTGCTCTGAGCCTCCTACTTCTTCTGCATGGCTAGTACATTCTCAGGTCTTATGCTTCCAAAGCTTCACAAGTGCTTCTCTACCTTAGTCCGTGTTTTTCCTATATCTGTGCAGGAAACATTTATACATAAACTGTATGATTCTGTTCTTCATTTAGTTCTGTGTGAGCTTCCACTGAACTACCAATGGTTTAACTTGTGGTGTGAGATGGTAATGAGATGCAAAGTGGATGAAAGATCTCTGGAAAGACTTTCCATGTTTACTAAACCCTCAGGTTTATAGTTTATGGAGCACAGAAAAGGTCACCACAAACACCGTTTTACAAAAACACAATCTGGTTCCCTTTGCTTCTCCTCCACTACAGGTTAGAATCTNAATTTTTAGGTGTTTTTCCTATCATTCAAGCATACCAACTTTATTTCTGTTAGACCTAAATTAGGAGCCAAATTAACCTTAGTGCATCTTTGTGCACTGTAGTAGAGCTATGAAACTTGACGCTGAGTCGACCTGTGTGACTCTACATCTGCAGAGTAACTATTTTCTATGTAATTTATTTTTGATTGAAAAAAAAGTGGTCTATAGACATTGCAGGTTTTAAGAAAAAGAAAAAGGCTGCAGAAGTAGTAATGTGTGTTTGTTTGTGGGTAGTGTCTGCAGTCAGTACCACTTATACACTACTGACCATCTTAGTACTAGTGACTAGCTTAATCAGGAAAGCCACCAGGAGAAAGAATGCAAGTTTGTGTATTGTGACTACTGGAGTGTAGGCAAAGCTGAGAGGATGTGGAAAGCTGCTGATTTTCCGACTCTGCCTTACCTCGCTTTTCAGCAGCGCAGGGCTGCAGCAGTGGACTCCTGCTTGAGTTCCCACCACATGGAGCTTCCAGGGGTGATGCTCCAGACATACTGGAGCCATGTGATCCCGTGCCATTAGAAATATCCTCCTTCAGTGAGAAGAGCAGGATAGTTTCAGTGGTTTTATTCTGTTTTTCTAGTTTTGTTGGTAGTAAAAGGGAGAACACAGCCTTTTCTTCAGTCTTTGTGACAATATACAAGCTTTGTCTTAAGGCAGACAAATTGAAATACATCCTTTTGAGATGTTAAAACGTTTTGCCTAGATGGGGTTGTAGTATTTTTCTTTGTGTTCCTGTAGAATTTGGAAGTTGAATGCATGAAGCATGTATAGGAGTAGAGGTGGATTTTCTCAGGCTGTCTGGAGAAATAGAAGTGTTTAATGGTTGGCATCCACAGCTACATAAATCTATTTCTAGGTATGTGGTACAGTGAATTAGCATCACACTTAGATGATAGGAGTAAAATACATTTCATGGGAACTTTAAACAGCAGTTTCTTGCACAACTAAAGTGATGGAGTAGGTTGCTGTTGCTCAGGGGAGGGGTTCTCTTCTCACTACATCCTCACAGGTCCATGGGCCTCCCCCATTTGCCTTGCTGGCTGTCTGCAAATCTGTTCAGTTAAACCAGCCCTACACAAGTGTTTGGGTAATGTTCTGTGGAGTTAGTGAATCTGTGTGTTAGAAGCATGAGAAGTGAGCAGGTTTGCCTTCTCTCTGGATAGTATGCTCTATGTAGTTATTCATAACTGCAGTACGAGGCAATCTTCGGTGTTCAGTTTGTTACTAATGTCTGCTGAAGAAAGGTGAAGATGTTGAGTTGGTTCGATATTTTATGCCTAGGATTTTGATAACACTTTCTGCAAGATCATCCAAAGCTGTCTGTGAAATCTGTGCCCACTGATGTAGCCTACTGTCTTAAACTAAAGTAGAAACTGCTGCTTTTACCTTTTCTCCAACTATTCCACATTGCTGTTTTAATTTGCAAGTCTAGTTCTGTTCCTTCAGAAATTACCAGTTTTTGTTGTAGATTGGAACAGAAAATGTGGGGCTATGGTTCATAACCACAGTACACTGTGAGGACACTGAGAGGCTTAAAAGCTGTGGCAGCTTGAAATTGGAGAGTTTCCAAATTTTAAGTCAGGGTGAGGTCCCATTTGTCAATTGAGTGTGGTGTGGATTTTTGTGGGACCTGGTCTCAAAGCAGCAGGTATGTGGTCCCTGGCTTTCAACATTGTTGATTGCCAGCACTTGAAATGCACCCTCTTTTTCTTTCCATCACTTCCTTCCCTTCAATATGTGCACTCATTTTAGTGGCTCTTTAAATTGTTGGATCTCAAGCAGAGTTTGAAGTGTATGGTTTGATGGATATGTGTAACTTAGCACTGAGGAATGATCATAAACTTCATTTTCTATTTCACATGCTCACCTTTTCTAATATTTTTGTTAAACACTGTTTTCACTTAAAAGGCACTCTGACTTTTGAGGAAAGGCTTGATCTGTGCAGTGTGCTTCAGTTTGTCCAACTAGGCAAACAAAGTTGTAAGTTCATTATTGTTGCACTTTTATTACACAGTAAATTCTTTGCAGATACTGTAATATATTTTAATATGCTTTGTAATCATTTTTAGAAAGCAGTGATAAAAATTGCTGATTTAATAAACTAATATGGAATTACCTGAGATTCTGGTTTGTATGCTTCTTTCTGGAAGATAATCTTTCAGTGACTCATATTTTGTAATTTTTCTACTTAAGGCTCATAGGCAGAGTAGCTATTTGGCAAGCTGCTGATTTTCCCACCTCAGTTTATGTATGCATAATAGATTTTGGTTATTTCTTTTCTGTGCCCTTGAACTTGTTGCTGAAATTACTGCTTGGTTCCAGAATTAAATTTATGTGTAAAAAATTTTAAAAACTTCCACAAACCTTCAGAACCTCTCTGTAATTAGCATGTTATAGCAGAATGTAATTTTGGAACTTCCTAATGTCTAAATGTGGAAGTTCTGTAAAGTCCAAGTGTGGAACATAAATCTAAAACTTCCTGTGTGGATTGAAAGTTTTAAACTTGATCTGAAAGGTGGTACTTTTAACTTCAGTGGGAGTACTGACCTTGAAAAGTAAGAGTTGATTGAATAGCAGCTTATCACTTTAATGTGTTTGTCCTAAAAAATCCAAAGACATCGTCCACACCATGCTGCCTACTACTTGAGAATAACCCATGGCATCAATAGAACATTCATTGTATCATTGTGCTGAAATTAATCCTCCAGCCCCTTCTTTCTCCTCTATGTGCACATCTTGAGACATTTCCAAAGGTATATCTGTGCCATCAGGATGCTACTGTTTAGCCATTGCTCCTGCTGTGGTCAGGTTTCAGCTGCTGTGAAGTTCCTGTGTAGCAGTGTTGGTGCCATATGTCACATGAAAGCAAATGTTTCACATGCAAACAACATGTTTGGCTGGAGGCTCCGTAGAGCTTAAACTGCGGTGACTTGTTAGATCTGCTCCTTACAAAAATAAAAAATAATCTGAAGAAGGGGAGGTTTTAGTGGTGTTTAAAGGTGGGAGGGTTGTTCTTTGGGGTTTTATTTTTAATAGAATGTTGTTTTACATGCTCCGCATATAATACATTTCAGACTTTGAAAAATTTACAGTACACTTCAGCAGTTGTTCTCTCTAATCCACAATTTGTACTTGGATAATAGGAAAAGTAGGCAACTGTCCATGCTACCAGTTTGTAAGTTTTGCAGTAATTGTTGCTTCTAATATTTTGCACTCTTAAACTGTGAAACATTTCTGTTTTAACTCCTGTGGTAGTACTAATCTTGAAAAATAAGAGTACTGGGGTGCCACTTAGTTTCTCCAAACCTTATTTGCTCCCATGTTTGGTGTGTTTGTAGGGCCTTTGGAGCAGACACTGCTCTGTGTTTCTCTGATTTTGCCATGCTGCAAGTACTAACTGTGAGTGCAGAGGACCTTTTGAAAGCTTGGCCCCTGGGCTTGCCTGCCTGACTTGGCAAGGAAAACACAGGAGGAAAGGTTGGCTGCCCTGCCCTGCTCAGACAGTTGAACAAATGCATCTCTTAAAAGTGCCTTCCTTCACTCAGGGATCACAGCAATGAGCTGGAAATAAATATCCATACCAAATAAACAGCTGTTGTGATCAAAACACAATCAGGAAGATGAAGTGGTTTTTCACAGGTATGTTCAGAAGTTCTCGATCTATGCAGCTTTTCTGACCTATGGGGGAAATATGGATGGAAGCCATAGTTTTGAGGCAGATTCCTCTCCCTTTTCCCATTGGAGGACTTCATGCTAGCACAGATTTGTACCTGCTGATAGACTATGGACTCAGTTTCTGGTCCAGTGAATACTGGAAGCTCACTAATGCCACATCTAACTTGTTTTCCCACCTATTCTTTTCTCTGAGATGGAGTTTGTCCATGATCTTTCCAAAGTCTTGCTAGCTCAGCAACCCATATTCCACCTCAGTCTGGAGCTCTGAAGATTTCATTGTAGTGAAAATAGCTCATGAATGGTATGTATCACTCACCAGGTGCTGTATTTCAGATATTCTGTAAGATTTCTATATTCACCATTTTTCAATTTTTTTAAACAAGGAACTGCTGAAACATGCTGTTCATACTTAGTGATTCTCTTTTCTGACAAGTCTGTGAGTTTTTTCTCTCAAAATGCATTATTTTGTGTCTAGTCTGAAAGTAAGAATTTAACAAACTGTAAGTATAACCAGTAAGCTCAAGGTTTGGCAATTTTTGCCTACAGTGGAGAGTAATTGCCATTTTTATTCATGTTGTATTACCGTGTCTTAGCTCGCATCTGCTAAAATTTGGACCTTTAATGTTAACTGTTTATACACTTTTGTTAAACCTTTATGCAGTGTTTTTGCCAATGACCTTCAACCATTCCACATGGCTGGACACCTTCACAAGGAAATGGAGATTGCTGGGCTGGTTTGTAGTCAGTAATCTGCTGGTCAGGGCAGTGAGGGACCAAAACCTGAGAGCACACCATGGTGTGCACTGTCCCTGGGGGGAGGTGCAGTGCTCTGCCACTAAGGGTTCTGGGAGCCACTTCCATATATGAATCCCACAGTTTTCTTCCATCAACAAATGGAGCTGAGTGCTTTAACAACTCCAGAAAATACAGCTATGAATAAGAAGTTTCACTCTCATGCAACAGTCTTCATTACTAGCAATGAAAAAAATGGAAATACCTGATTAAATTATAAAAATGGCTAGTTGGATCTGGCAGTGCCAACATGGTGATTTCTAAGGCCCAGTTTCAGTTTCATGTTCAAAATATTAAGGCTATTCTGTCACTTGAAACCTTTTATCTATGTTTGTATGAAGTGGAAAGAGACTGAAAGTCCTTTGTCCCATGTGTTCATCTCAAAAAGCCTTTGAAGCTCTTATGTTAACTATTTGAAGTTCAGAAACAGAAGGGAAATTTCAAGATAATATAAACAGCTCCAAGCAGAAAATGTCTTTAACTCATGACTAAACAAGCAAACATATATTTTCTGTTTCAAAAAGATGACTGAACTTTTTCATGCCAGGAAAAATAAATCCATCTGATTTTGCTTTAAGCTGTCCTCTTTTTCAAATGCAATGAGGGGCTCCAGTTCCTTTGGATGATGTAATTCAACTGTTCTGCTTGAGTTCTGCTCCCTGTTGATGTCATGTCGCTGCTAGCCAACTATTCAAAGAGAAAAGCAACTTCTAGTTTAGACTAGAGCACGAGGAGGCTGAGGTTTATAACAACCCAGCATCACCCGGCATGCCGGGTTAGATCCTCCCAGGCAGAGCCCAGCTTTAAGAGAGGCTTCATCCACTGTGGACCCCCCTGCCTGCAGGTGGGTGGCACCCCAGGGTGGCTGGTGACAGCAGTGCTGGCACAGCAGGTATGTAGGGGCCAGGGCAAGGGGGGTGTCTGGGGGTGGTGTGCTGAGGTCCTTCGGGGAAAGAAGCTGAGAGAAATACATGGCTATTTTGGGACAGAAGTTCAGCTGAGAGGCCTCTGAAAGCAGGGAGTCTCTGCAGACTGAGCTGGAGGTTGTCATGCCTCTCCTCAGCTGCTTTTGACTAACTCCTCCCAACTTTTCTTCAGCTCCAGTATTCCATTCCCAAATGAGTGAACAGCTTCTTGCAATAACTTGCTGTCTGCTCCTCTCCGGTGTTCTCGATATCCAAAGTATAGTTCCACTGTGCCGCAATGAGGTCTAAAGTTACGTGTAGTGGGTGGTTAGGAATGTGCTTAGATGGGGTTGAGAAACATTCTGGGATCATGGTTGAGCTCGCCTGTGTCCACACTATGTTGATGAAACTGAACATCAGCTGTTTGCTGGTGCTGGGGAGGGTGGCAGAGGGAAAGGACCACCTGTGGGACTGAGATTGCTGGCCCCAGGCAGCAGGATAATTTCTCTGCTTGCTTGGCACACTGTGAGCTACAAGACTGTAGCCCTGGGAGGGGGCTGCCTTTATACCCCATGGAGTCCAATGTCCTGAGACTCTTACTTGTGGAACTAACATGACTGTAGACACAGCGGGGGATAAAGGGCCAAGTTGTCATGAACGTATTTTCATTTAACATGCTTATTTTCTTTGAGATTTGGGGAACCCTCAACTTAGCAGGGATCAGACAGGATTTTCTTGTACCTTCAGAAAGGTGCATAAGCCCAGCCTACGTAACTGGAGGGTGATGGATTGTGGCAAACCTTTCACCTGAGCCCTGTGAATAGACTGGGCTCCCCAGGCATGCGTGTGGTCACACGGCTGTGAAATCGGAGCTGGCTTTGCTCAGTGGCAGCACAGAGCTCGGCTGTAGGAGCTTGGTACAATGAGAGGCTCATTAAGTTACAGGACTTTTGTCAGCTACAAATGACCTTGATGGGGATGCTTTAGCCCAGGAAGGCATCTGCATCCAACTGTGTATGTGTGTTCCTCTCTGGCAGACTCCTCCATCCCCGTGGGCAAGGGCAATGAGGAGGGGAAGGCAGTGCTGCTGCCTGGAGAGCACAGCCTCTGCTGCCCTGGGGAAGCTCATGGTGATCAGCCCTCTCTTGAGATCAGGGGTGGGAGTGGTAGCAGGAAATTCAGCACCTGCGTCCCTGTGACTGCCACTTCTATGTTTTTTATGGCAAGGGAATGAAACATTTCTTCCCATCTGAGAGAGGAGATGAGAATTCACATGCTTGTTATGAGAGGAGGACAATGATGACATATCAGAAAAAGAATTCAAGTAGAAATAAGTGTCATGTCCTTCTTTGATTTATGTGGTGTTGCCAGGAGGGGAGGAGCAGTGGGGGATGGGCTGGGAACTGTGGAGTTTTGGGGACAGGCTGCTTGTGCATGAGGTCTGTTTGATCTCCATAGTCTCCATTTTCCTCTTAAGCAGGACAAGATGTGGGCAGGTAAGAAAGGGTGGTAAGAAATCCTAACACGTCTTACTGGTGGCTATTTTGTAGAGGGATATCTGGCAGCAGAATCCTTCCTGTTAAGAAACAAAGAAACACATTGCCATCATGGAAAACCACTTCAGGCTGGAAACAAGGCAAGGGAAGGGTACTCTGGGCCCTTCTTCCTGAGGTCGGTGGAAAGGCTTTCCTTCTCTGCAAAGGCAGCAAGAGAGGGCCCATAATTAGCCTAGATGGGCGATTTTTTCCTGATCCCTCCAGGAAACTGCACGCAAATATTGTTGTGCCCTTCCTCTTGCTTTGTTAGGATATAAATAACTGAGGAAATGGCTTTATTTATCACTGTCACATAAGTGTCCACCATTTAACTTTGAACTTTAGATAGATATTCAGGACTTAGCAAAATTTTATACCATATCTTTGATTGCCTTGTGTTATCATAAAAAGCAAAGACAGTGATTTGCACATTTAACTATATAGATAATAATTAACTTGCAATAGGGATAAATACCTGCATCCAGGACCCATTCACCCACTGGTCCTCTGCCTTCTATTTGAAAGGAGCAAGGACATATTCTCAACACACACAACCGTGCCAACCTGTGCCAAATTTAAACCAACACCTTAGTTGGCTAGTCAGGACACAACAGTATTAGCTGGCTAGTCCAGGACACAAGTCCAGGAATTTAGAAGGAATATTTTGAGAAATACCTGTAATATAAATGTGCAACTCTTTTATTTTTAGTAGTTTTATGTTTTATGTGCACATTATGTATGATATTTTTCTAATGTGTATATGAAGACACAGAATCTACTGATAAAGTTTTATCTATCCTGAGCTTGGGTGGATTCCTAATTTCTTCTTCTGTTTCCACCTGTGTCTTTTGGAGGCTAGATACACTACACTTGCTTAAAGGGAAAACACTGCTATTCCCTTACCTCATCTCTGAGCTTGATGTCTTTCCTTACAGCCTCTGATTTGAGATGCTTGCCCATTTTCTAGTACTGATTCCCAGCAGCAGCTTTCTGATTCCTGGCAATGATGCCAGGTAAATGTGACCTGTGCACTTGTGACCTTGTAAAGGCCAGAAGGGACTCACTGCTATCTATATGTCACCAGAATTATTTTCCCTTTTGTTATTAATGAGAAGCCCATGGATAGTAAACTTTGGAATCAGCTGGCACTGCCAGCTTGACTCCAGTTGCCCTGCCAGCAGCAGGTATCTGTGCACAAAAGTGTCCTCAAAGCAGTGCTGAGCAAATTCCTAACACTTCACAGTTTCACCTTCTAATTTGCTGTGTCCCAGTTTAACCACTTGGCTACTGCTCTGATCTTTGTACTCTCTTTACAATCTTTGAGAGTATAATCTTTGTACTCTCTGCTATGCTTTATTTCCTGAGTCCATTGTCAGGTTCAATTTTCAAGGTAAGAATTTCTTTAGAAGGTCAGAACCTCCAGTTTAATTGTGCAAGATGCTATTTACCTGAGCCTCAGAACTATGTATGACTTTTCAACTGGTTTATAGCAATTTTGGTGACTTTCATATATTATTTTTGAGCATAAGACTTGGACAAGGCTAGTGACAACCTTTTCCCGTTGTGTCCTGATGGGTTAATTTCTTTCAGATCAGGTGAGAGGTTCATAGGTAGATCATAAATACTCGATCTCTGTTCCTGAAAGCAAAGGTCACTGCATTAAAGCAATGAGGTGAATGTAGGAGTGGATCCAGTGGAAGTCATTCTTCAGGAAAACCAGCTGCTGGATGTCAGAAAGGACTTCCTCCAAAACTGGGTAAGTCCATTTTTTTCATGTTCTTTGATATTTTCTTTTCTTGTAATGTACCACTATGACTAGTTTTTGTTCCTAGCACTGTTTATGCATTCTGCAAATGCAGGTAATCTATAATAGAAGTGTCTTTAGATAACCATCTACCCATCCATAGAGCATTTCTAACTTGATGAAACAGATGAGCTATTACGTGAGGCAGTAGCTCAACAAATAATCTTCCTTTGTACCTAAATGAAACCAGTTCTGTCATTATTCAGGGTGTCTGCAGTGTTTGGATAGGAATCCGTAAAAAAAAAAAAAAAAAAAGAAGAAGCCTGCAGGTGTTCTAAGAAGCATTTGGCAAACTCAGAAATGGCGTTATGAGATGGGTTATTACATGGGAGAGAGTTAATATCACCTCTCCAGCAGGGAAAGGCAATTCTTTGAATATCTGCTCTTCAAATGGAGAAAGTAGGCAGTGCTGAACTAGCCCACAAGATAAGAAAATGTAGAGAGAATGTTCTCCATAATCCTATTTCAGATTTTGCTAAATTTTTCTTTTCATTAGGCTTTCATCTACAGTTATAACCATTCCCTGTGTGGTTGCTGAACCACCGGGCTTCACTGCTGTCCCTGTTCTGAGGAAGTCAGGCTCTGAGGTTTAAGAAATATCTGCCCCAAAAAGAAATATAAACAAAAATGCAGAAAGAAGTCACTGCTTCTGCACTTTCCACATCTCTTAATATTGTAAAATAGCAAGTGTTTTTAGTACTAATCAGAGCATGGAAACCTATCAGGTAAGGGCTTTCCCCTTTACAGTGGCTGCCGTTGCTGGTTCACTGTTGTTATTGGTTCACTCTCATGCTAGGACAGATAAAGTTTTCTTTCTCAGTATTTTATGTTTTATGAATTAAGTGGGAACAAAGCCCATAACTGTTCAGAAAACAAAGCAAACATGGAATTTTGGGAAGTATGTCACACTGCTCCACACTCTCACAGTTTCTCAGATGTTTTAATTTTTCATTCTCTTCTCTCTTTGCAGTGGGTTGAGAGCAGTAGACGCCTCTCTCCTCTCCCATCATTACAACGGGTTTCTTGGTTTCCCAGCCAGGGTGATATCCAGGTAATACTTGTATTATGACAGTAGTTGTCATAATATTATGTTTGGTCACTAAAATTGTCTGTAGACATGAATCATAGACTGATTTTTCTTTTATTTATTTTTTTTAATAATCCTCTTGCCTTCATAACAGCAAGGCCACTGCTGTTACAATTTACAATGTAAGCCAAGTGTCTTCAAAAGAGCTATTCAGCTGAGCTGAAATCCAGTTTATTGTGTCACAGACTCTAAAGGCAAGACTCCTCCTTTCTTATCTTTCTGAATATTCATCTTGGGTTCTGTGTAGAAATTACAAGCCTGACTTTTCACTGGTATGGATGAAGTAGATAAGAACAGGGAAGAGGAATAATGCTTCCTGACACCCAGGCTAGGACCTTTTTCATGTGATTATGGATCTGTGTCACCATCCTTACTGTGACAGATGTGCAAAAACTGAACCCATGAGAGGAAAGAATCAAGTTGGTTCCATTTCCTTTCCAAACGGCTCTTTGATTTCTGTTGGAAGTACAGAAAGTCTAAAAGCCAAGGACAGAATCTTAACCAGTCCTCAGAGAACACAACACACTTTTTCCTTTTGGCAGTGATTTGTGGATTCCTCCTTCTGGCAGTGTCTGAGATCAGTTCTCTGTGAGGTGCTTTCAGCACACCCAAGGAAGTTATTGATGGCTTTCAGGTAGAGGTGATCCTCATGAGATCAAGGACACTGGGTGAAGGCTGAGAGCAAGAAAATAAAGCTGCAGAGATACATGTCACATTTTCATCCTGAAGCTAGAGATGTATTTTTAAAGGGTGAGATAAAGCAAGTTAAAAATAAAGTTGGTGAAATTAAAGTGCAAAGTGCAAGCAAAAGGAAATGAAGGTATTACACTGGGTGTGGTATATAATCTTGTACCTGTTGGTGCTGAGTTTCCTATATACACTGGGCATGTGAGTGGTTTTTGTAGGTGGCCTGGCAGATCTCTTCAGCTCTCATCAGCCTACTGTGGTTTCTGACTTCCTAGGTGACCATGGGCACCGAATATGAAAAAGATCATATCAAGAAGCTGCAGGAGCAGCGTATGTCCATGCAAAAGAAAACCTTCACCAACTGGATGAACAATGTCTTCTTCAGGAATAATGTAGGTAGCTCCTTCAATTTGAAGATTTTTTTCTGTTTTATTTTATTTTACCTGCTGTATATTTTTTAATGTTATTTTAATGTATTTTTTTCTGAATGTTGTCACATGTAGACTGTATAACTCTATCATCACATTGTGATGTCCATTTTACATTGGTGATCCTCTCAAAGGAAAATCCTTATTTGCTTCTTTTTCCTGTAAATAAATTTTCTGCAGACATCAGAGTTTCCCCAGGCAATGCTCAATTATTAATTGCCTGGCCAAAAATTCTGACTTTGTGCTTTGCCTGATTAGTTCAGTTTGAGTTGCTGCTCAAAGGCTCTGAAAAATTACCCTTAATTTTGTGGAATTTCAAACATACTGCCATGCGAGTACAGATCAGTTTGTTTTCTCTAGCTCTCAGACTTCAAAAAATCTTCAGAGCTAGTGTGCAGTCGATATGTATGTGGAAGGTAATGCCAGCATATTTCAGTCTCCAGACTTACTGCAGATAAAATTTCAGGCACAAATGATGTAGCTATGGAACAGAAAGGAATGATGTCATCCAAACCAATTCCATTTTCTGGAGTCTGTAGTAGGTAGTAATGAAAACGGATGCTGGGAACACCAAGCAGGACCAGGCCACTGGGTCCACTGTAGCTCATCACCGTGTTTCAGTACCAGATGTGTTTTTTCACTGTAATGTTTTAAGTTTGTGATTTGTACAAAGTCAGCTGCAGAGCACAACAAACTTTCAAATTTATTTTTCGTAACGGTAGTGAACAAGTGTAAAACAGATACTTGTTTTGGCTCCTGCAGAAAGTTAGGTTTTCGTGGTGTAGGAAATGAGTTCTCTTTAGCTGTAGACATATACTTTCTCATTTTAAAAATGCCTTCAAGTTCAGAGATAAAAATGCCAGTCTGAAGTTCCTGCAATGTACTTGTTCACATATCATAAAAGTCTGGGGAACAAAGCCTGGGAGAGCTTTCCAAGCCATATACGGTAGAGACGGCACAGAGCTTATCTAGGTCTTCCTGGCAGCTTAGTCCCAGCTTTCCAAGGCACACTTTGAGGTGATTGGATCATACTACAGGACACTGCAGTGTTCTTAATTATACTGTTGACTAATTCAAGTTTAGCACTAAGGATGCTATTGGATTGAATTTGTTAAGCTATCTGTGACTGGTATTTTTATGAGAAGAATGAGGCAGTAAAGCTATTAAAACAACAGCTGGATGAGACATAAAGCAGATATATGAGCCCTGTCTTTTTACAAACCCAAACTGAAGTATTCTTCATTTATGGAAGTGTCATAGCATATAACAGCTCAAACTTTTTTTTTTTTTTTTTGTAGTACATCATAGACAGAATTTTAACTTTTATTAAATATGCAAAAGGAATAAAGTTGTCAACTAAACAGGGAGTTGTTTTTATGGAGTTAATCAGTGGAGCAATCTTTTCCTTTTCCTTTTCCTTTTCCTTTTCCTTTTCCTTTTCCTT